TGTAAATATTTTTGCGCATTTAGAAATGCATTTGACATTTGAGCCTTTTTTCATTGATTTTTTATCTTATCAAAAATAAATAAATAAATAAATGCTTAGTTTAAGTTTAATTAGTCTAAAATTTCATTCATAAATGTATCATAAAAATTTTGAAATGAAAAAAAAAATTGATAAAAAATTTTAAAATGAAAGATTTTTATTAAAATAGCACAAATGAAATTTGAAATTAAATTTGTAAGCTCATTATTTCACATTTATATCATCTGTTCATCTCCTTTAATTTATTCATCCCTCTCTTTCTCCCTCTCTGTCCCTCTCTCTCTCTCTCTCTCTGTTGTTCATTCCTAATATCAAAGGTTTAGGAAATCATCAATCAAACTTTAGCCCCTGATTACTCTCTGTCAACTCACTAAGCTTAGCTTTCGGTCAAGTAGTCTGTCTTACTTGTCGTCCACCATATGTCCATTTTATCATCTGCTGGCGCATATGTCCATTTTATCATCTGCTGGCGCATATGTCCTTATCATTTCCCCTTTCTTCCTTCTTTAGCTCAATTTATTTTATTCTTCAAAAAAATTTTTTCATCTTTTTTTGTCCAAAAAGAAAAAAACAAAATTTTTTTTTTCTTATTTTTTTCATTCAAATTAATAAGCATTAGTAATTAATTAGTTCTTACATACAATCAATCATATTTATTCATTAAAAAAAATTATCAATTCACTTAAAATATAAATTTATCATTTATCATTAAATTATCAATTCACTTAAAATATAAATTTATCATTTATCATTAAATTATCAATTCACTTAAAATATAAATTTATCATTTATCATTAAATTATCAATTCACTTAAAATATAAATTTATCATTTATCATTAAATTATAAATTCACTTAAAATATAAATTTATCATTTATCATTAAATTATCAATTCACTTAAAATATAAATTTATCATTTATCATTAAATTATCAATTCACTTAAAATATAAATTTATCATTTATCATTAAATTATCAATTCACTTAAAATATAAATTTATCATTTATCATTAAATTATCAATTCACTTAAAATATAAATTTATCATTTATCATTAAATTATCAATTCACTTAAAATATAAATTTATCATTTATCATTAAATTATCAATTCACTTAAAATATAAATTTATCATTTATCATTAAATTATCAATTCACTTAAAATATAAATTTATCATTTATCATTAAATTATCAATTCACTTAAAATATAAATTTATCATTTATCATTAAATTATCAATTCACTTAAAATATAAATTTATCATTTATCATTAAATTATCAATTCACTTAAAATATAAATTTATCATTTATCATTAAATTATCAATTCACTTAAAATATAAATTTATCATTTATCATTAAATTATCAATTCACTTAAAATATAAATTTATCATTTATCATTAAATTATCAATTCACTTAAAATATAAATTTATCATTTATCATTAAATTATCAATTCACTTAAAATATAAATTTATCATTTATCATTAAATTATCAATTCACTTAAAATATAAATTTATCATTTATCATTAAATTATCAATTCACTTAAAATATAAATTTATCATTTATCATTAAATTATCAATTCACTTAAAATATAAATTTATCATTTATCATTAAATTATCAATTCACTTAAAATATAAATTTATCATTTATCATTAAATTATAAATTCACTTAAAATATAAATTTATCATTTATCATTAAATTATCAATTCACTTAAAATATAAATTTATCATTTATCATTAAATTATCAATTCACTTAAAATATAAATTTATCATTTATCATTAAATTATCAATTCACTTAAAATATAAATTTATCATTTATCATCAAATTATCAATTCACTTAAAATATAAATTTATCATTTATCATTCATTTTCAATAAACAATTCGTTTTTTTTTTTCATTTCAAAAAGAAGAAAAAAAAAATTATTAATTAAATGAGTAATTTATCAATGAATTTTTTTTTTTACTTTTTTATTTTTTATTAAGATCAATAGGTTAAGTTAAGGTTAAAATTAATTTCGATAAAATTTTTATTTTTTAAAATGTATTATTTGCAACTTATCATTCAACTGGAAAATATTTTGATGGTTTGAATGTGTTTTTTTCTCCTCTTTTTTTTTTTTTTCTGAATAAATTTATACTTTGTATTTTCATCATTTTAAAAAAAAACAAAAATTTTCCATTCATTAAAATCAATCAGTAAAAAAAAAAAAAAAAAAAAAAAAAATAAAAATTGAAAATAAATTATCGTAAATGATGAAAAAGGTTATATGGGAAAATAATTTTTTTGTTTTTTTTTTTTTTTCATTTTGCTTTTATATTTACTGATAACATTTATTGATTGAATGACCTTCACTTCACTTTCTTTTACAAAATTTACCTGTTGAAATTGTTTTAATTTAAATTTAAACAAACTTTTTATTTCATCTTTTCTCTTCTTTTCATACGAAAGAGTCTATCTATTAATTTGTTATTTTCTTTGATATTTATTTGAAATTTAAAAAAAGCTTCAACGATTGCAAAGTTAATTCTAGAATATTTAATATTTTAAGCTATTTCAATAATTTTAAGCCATTCAATAGTAACTTTATCTTTTTTCTGCTTTTCTTTTTCTTTCAATTTATAAATTTGAATTGCATTTAAAGACAAAATGCTAAAAAGTGCAAATTTTACTTTTACTTTTTCATTTCATTTCAATATATATTAGCTATAAGTTATAGAGAGCTATAAGGTAAGTATGAAAAATAAGTAAAAATTTGTTAAATCAAATTAAATTATAGAAAAAAAGAAAGTAAAAAAAAAATATTTGAAATGTATTTGGAATGATATTTTTCTAGTAGAAAAGAAGAGAAAGTATGTAAATTAATTTTTTTTTTTTTTATGGAATTTTTTAATATCATATTTTTAATTATTTTGTTTCTTTGAATTAATTTTTATTATTCTTTTTTTTTTTTTAATTTTTCCAATTTGACAATTTTTGCTATTTCTTCCTGGACAATGTCACAATGCTGAAATGAAATATTTAACATATCGTTAAATTTCATTTCAAATTTAACAATGTGATTTAATTTTAAGGCATTGCATAAATTTATTCAAATGACTAATTAATTGCATTCTTATCAATAGTACGAAAGGATTGAATTGTTGATTAAATAAAGTTTTCTCTATCGTTTAAAATAAATATATAAAATTTGAAATTTAAGATTAAATTCAACTTTTATTTTAATTTAAATTTTTCTTACATTTTAATTTTTTTATTTAACCTTGTGATCTACCTTGTGACTTTTTTTTCTTGTCATTGACAATATTTTTTATATTCTGTCACCTTTTTTTTTTTTTTTCTTAATTTATGGTTTATATTTGTGAACTATAAAGTACTTCATCAGTACTTTTATTTAATCCATTTATTAAAAAATAATTACGAATTTTTCAATCCATTAAACTTATTTTTTGATTTCTATAGAAATTTTCTAAATTTATTTTGTTACAAAATGAAAATACATTAGTAATTTCAAATTTCTTTGGCGATTATTTGCTTGAAACTAATCAAATTTACTAAAGTAACCAATTTAAATTTACTAAAGTAACTAATTTAAATTTACTTAAGTAACAATTTAAATTTGCTAAAGTAATCAATTTAAAATTACATAAGCATTTCATTTTTCCTTACAAATTTCTAAATTATTTTATATTTTAAAATAAATGCAAAGAATATAAATTTGTTGCTAATTAATTCATTTTGGGCAAACGAATAATTTGATGACAATAAGCAGCAGAAAGAGGGATTGTCCCTCTTCATTAAAAGGGAAATTTGCATTTTATAGAATTTTCAAATTTAAATTCAAGAGATTATGTCCCTCTCTCTCCCTCCCTCTCTCTCTCTCTCTCGATAAATATATGTTTTTATCCATATTCTTCCATAAGAAATAGCCATTCATTAAAAATTGTTCTTTAATAAACTTTGTGCAAATCTCTCTCTCTCTCTTTTTTTTTTTACAAAATTTCCTCTCAATTTTGCATTAATAGTTAAATTCATTTTTCATTATCAAAATTGAAAATAAAAAAAAAAAAGAATCCTATAAAATGAATTTTTCAAAATATTATCATTTTTTTACTCTTTTAAAATATTTGTAGAATTTTTTGTTAAATTATGCATAGATTTATTTATTTGTTTGTTTATTAAATCATTAATTTAATTCCGTTTTTTTTTTCGAATTTTTAATTTTTTGGATTATTTTAGCTCTACAATGTTAATTTAATTGTTCTTTATGAAAATGCTTTTTGCAAAAAAAAAAAAAACTTTTACTTCAAAATTAATCCAAAAACAGATCTGTCACATTTTAAAGTTTTATATTTTATTTAATCGCAAAAATCCATTAGTTATAAAACTGTGTAATAAAAACATTTGAAAAGTTGCTTTTAAAAAAAAAAAAAAAATTTAAAGAATGATTTGAAAATTGTTGACAGATGTTTAAACTTTTTTTTGAACCTTTTTTGAAATTTCATCATCTTATGAAAATATATTTTTATTTTTTCATTGTCTGTAAGCTTTCTTTTTTTTCTTTTTATATATTATTATTTTTCTTTTTATTTGTAAAAATCTATTGATTATGAAATTTTGTAATCAAAAACATTCATTGAATCATTGTTAAATTCTGATCAAAATTTTTTTAAAAAAAAAATATTTTCTTTTTTTTTTAAAAAAAATGAAATTTCATATTTAAAATATATTACTATTGAAAAATTCTTTTCTGGATTCTACTTTTCACTTTTTTTCTCTTTTTTTTTTCCTTGGATTTCTCCAATTTCAACCAGCATTTAAACGAGCAACAGCATTTTCTACGAATATTAATCAATTAAATTTCTCATCCTACAACTATTCTATAATCGGTCCAGAAACAACATTTTACGGAAGCAAGAACTGGATTGATTGATTGATTGATTATATTTTCCGGATATGCATAGAGAAAAGCTAAATTTTGAATCACGTAGCATCCGGTTTTCATCTGCACAACAGAAGGAAAGTTTCAAACGAAACAGTGTGAAAGCACTAAAAAATACCAATCGTCGACCGGGAGGACTTGAAATGATTCTTGCATCAATTGATGACTCATTTATTCTTCTATCTGATTTAATTAGTACCACCGAAATTAATGATGCAAATTTACGAATTGATGAGAAGCATGATAACATTGTTTCATCTGATTTTACTGATAATAGCAAAGATTGTATGATATGGAAGAATGATGGAAAAATTGATAATTGTGATAATTTTACTGATAAAACATTGTCACAAAAAGTTTCTCAAGAAATAGCAAAAATTGATTTAACAGAGGAAGAAATTATACAATGGATGGGTGGTTTACCAATTATTAATCCAAATAAAATATTTGCATATTTTTGTGATGGAACAAAAAAAATTTTATCAAATTATGAACCATATCAAATTTTCTCTTTTACAAAAAATTGGCAAACTAATGATCAAATTATGATCAAAAATTTAATCACTGAGGTTTGTTCATTTCTTCATATTTCATAGATTTCACATTTAAGTTCTTCAAATTATTTTAGCATTTTATGTTTCATCTATCTCTTTTTTATTCTAATAATAGAAAGCATAATGTAATAATTAAAAAAAAATTTTTTTTTTCAAAAAAAAAAAAAATTAAATTTAAAATTATTACATTATGCTTTTTATTAAATCAATTTTACTGGAAATTTAAACATTGCATAATTAAATTAGAACTAATACCATTAGATTTTAAGTATAACTTTGAGGAGAAACAATTAAAAAAGAAAAATTACAAACATACAATTTTGATCATCGAAATTTTGTTAATTCTATTTTATCTAAAATATTCACTTTATAACAAAGCGATACATTTGCATGAAATATTATCGAAGGTAAATGGTATTCAAACAGAAGAAGCAATACAATATGCAATCTCTTCTAATGTTATCATTTACGGATGAATTCTTTCTTTCAACTTTACGACTTTTCATTGTTGGAATAATTTTGAAAAAAGAAAATAAATGCTTATAGCTTGGTAGTATTATTTTCATCTTTCAAAGGTATTTTTTGTTCAGAAGGATCAAACTGCATCATTTATGTTAATTTTGTTTTTTGCATTTAGCATTTGAAAAAAAAAGCAAAGCAAAATAGCTTTAAATAGACTGGGTATCTCTTCATTTTTTTTTTTTTTATTTATTTATTTTCATTTTTTGCTCTTACTTTCACGATGTGGAATTTTATATAAACAGTAAGTCAGTTTTAAAAGCATAACAGTAAATCATCATCCATTATCATTGTCCTCATCATCATCATCATCATCTTGGTCACTATTATCATCATCACTACCATTATCATTATCATTATCATTGTTATTATCATCATCATCCATCAAAGCTTATTGTGTTAGCTCAATAGAACGGAAATGTAAAATGACGAGCGGAGAGGAAATGGAAATGATTCAGCATGTGCGCATATGTCCTATACAAAAATATCTTCCATTTAGTGCAAACTATTAAACCAAATTCTTAATTATATTAGCACAAAGCTAAATCTTAATTATTCGATTAGCTATCTATTATTCATTCAAATAATGAAATGTGTAGGTTTTTTTTTTTTTCTTATTCGTATATTATTTGCAACTTTTTTTTTTTATTTCTGTTTAAAATTACTCCAAAAAATTTATATTAAATAAGAATGTTCCATAGTATTTATTATCATAAGCTAACTTTGATAGCTTTCAATTCTTGAAATTACAGATAACTTTCTTTTTTTTTTCGCATTTATTAATTAGATTTGATGAAAGTTAATGAGAGATTGAAAATTAATGTTAATGCATAAGAAATTAAGGTAAAAAAGAGGAAATATAGAATAGTTTTAAAGAAAATATATAGAATAATTTAAAGAAAAAAATACATTTGTTTTGAGGAGTGATAAGAGATATATGATAAAACAATACTGATAAGATAAGATCTTCAAATAAGTATTTATAGAGAAGACGATGTTTCGTGCTGAGTAAAAGCTAAAAAGGAAAAAAGGGAAAAATTCAATTATGCTTTGAACTATGACCCTTTATCATAATAATTCAGTATAAAATTTCACATAATCACTGGTAGCTAATCATTTACTCACTGATATCACTGATAGCTAATCATAATCACTTATCATATTTTTTCGAAAAGATCGTTTTCTTCCTCTATTAGCTATTCTTTTTGTGTTACAAATAAAAAAAAGAGTGATATTTTTGTTTTTTTTTTAAAAAAAAACTTTTGATCGATTAAGTTCAATCATTATATTTTTCAACTTTTTCTCTCTAACTCTTACAAAATATTAACTTTTTCTTTTTTTATAAAGATTAAAAAACCCAGAAGAAAAATTATATAGTATAATTTATTTTTTGGATCAATAATATCTGAGAGTAATTTAAATTTTAATAACAATTAATTTGAAGTAAAATTTCTGAGATTAATCATCCTCATAACAGCTTCAATAAGTTTTATTAATGAAAAACTAAAAATTACAATCAATGAAAATAATTTTGTTCATTAATTTACTATCTTTTATAAACATTTTACCTTTTTAATTTTATTAATTCTATTAGCTATATTAGTTGTATTAATGAAAAAATTTAATATTTTAAAAAATGGAAAATTTACATGAAAAAATTGGAAAAAAATTTATGCAAATTTCAAAAATTTTGAGTAAATCTACAAAAAAAAAAAAGCAAACAAACAAACAAACAGCGTTCGACACAATATGCAAATAATTCTGTTCGAGCATATATATTATCAATCAATAAATCATTTTTTTGTTTTTTTTCTTTTCTTCTCAATGATATTTGCATTATTTGGATGAGTTTTTTTTCATCTTGCACATATCATCAAATACCTCACGTAATTTCCTCTCTTACACGTAATTTCCTCTCTCACACGTAACTTCTACTATTGCCTTCTTTTTTTTATTTACGAGAAAATCATCAAATTTAAATTTATTTTAAAACAAAAAAGAAAAAAAAGCATTCTTCTTTTTTCTTATTTCCGTTTCCGTTTTTTTTTTTATTTAAAAAAAAAAAGTTTTTATTGGCTCATTATGGAATGCAACTGTATGAATTTGCTATGCACAAAACTACCAAAACATAAGGTTAGAAATTTTAATTTTCTCTCTCTCTCTCTCTCATCTTTTTGATATTTTCCCAGGTATTTTGCGTTTTTTTTTTTTTTTTTGGATAATAATTGGGAATATTTCAGGTTTTTTTTTGATCTTGAAAAGCTAAGTTTTGTGGATATGTGTTGAAATGTTATTTGAATATTATTTTAATTTTTTAGTTAGTATTTTCATTTATTATATTTAATGGATTTGGATAAATATACATTTATGTGTACTATTATAAATAATAATGGTTCATATAAAAAAATTTTATTTAAATATTCTTATTTGCTTATGTATGATTATTTAATGTTACTGCTATTTCCTGTAATTATTTGTTTAAAGAATGAACTTTCTAAATTTTCATTGTTTTACACTTTTATTTGATACAAATAACGTGACATATACGTGATATACATATACAGAAGAAGTAAGCACATTTTATATTTTCTCAAGAAGTTTATCTTTTCTTAAAGATAAATCAAAATTTTATTAGAATTATTTAATCATCGTTTTTCCTGAAATTGAAATTATATTTCGGATCCGATTATGTTTCATCTGCTGCAGAACACTTATAAATTCTTCATTCAGTTATATTTATCATCTATCATTGTTAGATGGAATAGATTGACGAATTGAGATCAAAAGAAAAAAAAAAATTTAATTTTTTCAAAAATTTTGCTATTTATTTTCGAATAATTCGTTTTTTTTTTTTTTAATGCTTTTATTATTGTCATAACAAATCTTAAAGATTTTATTAGTGTCTTATTGCCCATTCATATATTTTGCTGCGTAGAAATTGATAAATTTTTTTTTTTTTAACATTAATTTGAATAAAGGAAAAAGAATGAAATTACCTAACACTGTTATACGATTCCTTTAATTCATTATATCATCGTCTTTTTTTTTCTTTTTTTTTTTAAAGTCAAAGAATTTCAAAAATTAATATTAATGTATAAATCATTGCACAATCAATTACTTATGCATTTGTTGTGATTATAGAAAAATAAAAAAGGGACTGAGAAATTATAACTAAGGTAGGTGTCTTCATTGAGCACTAAACAAGGATATTAGTAGTAAAGAAAATCATTTTTATGATCATTTTAAATTTTGTCATACCATAATTTTAATTACTACATATTCAATTATTTTAAAGTAAATTACATATTTTTCAAAGTTATTTTATTTTTCCTATCGATCGATATACAAATAGTATTTTAAGTTATATTCCATCTTATGTAACATAATAATATAAAAGTTTTAAGTTTTCAACCTCTTGCACCAAATTTTAATTTACCAAAGTTATTTTTGATTTTATTTTCAGTTAGTCCTAAACAAGAAATCAAAAACAGCAAACTGGACTACTGCTACAAGAGAATCGGAAATAAGTGATCACGATAGAAGAATTCTAAAAAAGGTATTTTTATTATCGATAAGTTATTAAAAGAACTATATTAGGCCTTAGTAATTCATCTAAGTTTCTGAAGTTTAGAGAAAAGGAACCAAGTGCTTTCATTAATTCTGTTCTAGAACATTAGAAAGCTTTCTTTATCGAAATTATCAAATGGAAAAATTATCAGTAGATAAGATTAAGTTCATTCTGATTTCGGATAAGATAGATTGACATGAGATCTGAATATATTTTGGATAGTCTTTTCTAGGATATTTTCTGTTTCTAGTTTCAACTGATCGACTTTCAATTGATCGTCTTTTATCTTTCTAAAGAGCAATCATTTTCTTTTTTATTGATAGTAAATGTGAAAAAAGAAAATGTGAAAAATAATAGCTAAAGCATTGATTTTTAACCTTTATATGAAGATTATATTATCATTTTCTCTTATATATTCAGTTATGTTCAATATTTTTTAATTAAAATTATTGATATAAATATTCAGTCTCTCTTTAAACATTTTTGTTTTTTTTTTTTTTGAGTTGTAGTGCTGAAAAATTTCAATGATATTTTACATAAATTTATTCAAATCAAATCATATGATCCTATTCATATTAGAAGAAAAATAATTCCAAAACATTTATCAATGCCAAACTTATAAAAAAAAAAAATAGCACTACTTAGGAAATACTTCAATTTTATTTCAAATCATTTTGTAACAAAAATTACAATATTCGGTGGTAGTTTGTTAGTGTAAAATGAAATTATAAAAGGGAATTTAAAATATGTTTAAACAATATTACAAGTTACATTAGTTGTCATTTGTTATATAACGCGTGTATATGTGTTACAGATTAATCGACTTGACGGTGAAACTAGTTGTAGTAACAATCTGGAGCGGACATCGGTTCGTAGTATCATTGCTGGATATCAGCAAAGACAACTTTCATCAAAACCGTCGTATACAGCACAAGGTCATATTCAAGCTTCTAGTTGTATACTTTTAAATTTAAATCTTAAGTGTATTAGTTGAGTATTCATTGATGTTTATCAGGATGTAAGAATGCAGTGCAGTAAGTTTCTTTTTTGAATTATCATTTAGCTCTTTCTAACAATTTCCTCCAATCAAACTAACATATTCGTTCTAATTAATATGAAATTCGCTTACCATAATAAATACTCATAGATTGTTAGGTTTGAATCAATTTTTTAGACAATAAAATCTATCAGTTCAGTTCAGTTCAGCTCAAAATATAATCTTTGAAATTTTATTATTATATCATTATTATGAAATTTATGAATTTAACCTATAATTCATATTTTATTGCTTTCTCAAAAGATGCAAACAAAATATGCAAACAAAACAAAATCATTTGACCATTACAGAATAAAGTGCTGGTGCGAATTGATTATAAATTTATTCCGATCCATTTATCTCATCCATTTAAACAGTTTAATGAGATTTAAATTTAAAGAGATCTATTTAAATCCATTTAAAGAGTGTAGCATAGAGTTCTCTGTAAATTCATAGATTTTAAACTTCTTACTTCATTCATATAATTGTATGATTTGTGAAAAGAAATGAAAAAAGAAGAACAGTTTTGATATTTTTCAAGAAGGAAATTAATTAATCACAAACACTAATTTACAAATTTTCAAAAAAGAAAGAAAGGAAAAGGAAATTCCGAAATTCTCCGATTTTTTTTTTTTTATAATCAATTTAAATAATTTAATTAAGATATTTGATTAATTGCAATTAATTCATTTAGTAAAACCAATAAAAATGAACCATCTTGTGCATCGCTGAATTCATTATCGTTTACTGACATCAATTTGGTGACCAATTGATTTTTTTTTCCTTTTGAAATGATATTTTTCGCTGTAAGACCTCTCTTATGCCGCCAATTATTTGGTTTAATTTTGTTGAACTATTCCAAATGATTCATATTACAAATTTAATTTGTTAGGTGAATTTTTTCGTAATGTTTTTGCGTTTTCTTTTCGTTTTCAATTTGAATTAATGCATTTATCGTAAATTTACAGGATTATCTCCTGGAAATTCGGTAGTTTTACGTGGAAAAGAAGATATTAGCAGCCAAATATCATTAGAATCAGAAGTTGTTGAGAGTAAAGTGCACACCGACATTTTGCCTGTTGAATCGAACGAATTTCAGAAAGTTTTACCAAAAACAAACGATATGATGGAGTCGAGGAAGCCAATGGCGGTTAGTTTTTTGAAAATAATTTCAAGATAAAAAAAGAATTTGCCATAGTGCTATCTTTTAGTAAAACAAAGCAAATAAACTAGAGTGTAAATTCACATTTATAGTTGGTAAATTTATGTCAGACAAAATTAGCGTAACATTTTTTTTTTTTAACTGAAACATTTGATATTTTTTTATATGACATAGACATATAAAATGATTTCAGGCTCCACCTGCACCACCGCTACCACCAATTCCAACTCATTTGAAAAATTCCCAGCTTAAGTTACTAAATGGTGATAGTGGATCTTCACCGATATCATCAAGTTTTCCAATGGCATCCACAAGAGGACATTAACAACTATAACTTCAACTTCAGGTTCAACTCAAGATTCTAGCAAGCATGAAACAACGGATGCAAAGTTCGTCCCAAAAGGCATGATTTCTCGTTTCCCATCTGGTTGTTTCCCGCAATATCTTTGCTGTATCTCTCCTAGCCATAAGAAGAGTATAAGCATAGAGGACACGTCACTCACTACTAAGATCCGTGAGCATTATGGTCTCTTATAAAAACACTATTACTGATAATGAAATGAGGAATGTCTTTCTTTCACAAGAAAAAAGAGATTATGTAAGATTTAGATTTGCTACCATACAAATGGGGTTTCATCTTTGTCTTCGTTTCGTTATTAATCGAAAGAGAAATGATTTTAGGAGAGTCATCGTAAACATCTTAAAACCAGGATATTAAAATTGTCGTAGAACAACAAAATTATTTCAAAGAAGACAAAAATTGTAATAATTTATGATTTTACAGAAAAATTTAATGTATCTGGAAGTACCACAGAAGAATTTCGAACGCTGAAATTGAATGGGCATGTTGGATTTGATTCGCTTCCGCATCAGTTGGTTCGGAAATGCACTGAACGAGGGTAATTGTGAAAAACAGCTAGATTTAATTCTCTATGGAATTCTATTCTCATCCTTAAGTGTTAAATCATTATAGAAGCTAAATAGATTCCTTTGAAATTTAATGCATCACTTGGATTGGTGCAGTAAAATGCAGTTAAAGTTTTTTGCTCTAGTTATTCAGTGAACATTTCTTTTCTTACCAATTTATGTAAGTAGTTTTTAGATTTCAATTCAATCTGATGTGTGTTGGTGAAACAGGCATGGGTAAAACAACACTGATCGAATCTCTGTTCAATATGAAACTTGAATTTCATCCTTGTAATAATGAACTTAAGACTGTAGAACTACTTTCCAGGACTTATGGTAAGCTCGTTGTAATTGCTATTTCACAGCATCATCTTGTTCATAATATTCCATTTATAATATTATTTGTGTTTAGATGTTGTGGAAGGTGGAATTAGGCTCAAGTTGACCATTGTTGAAACAGCTGGATTTGGTGACCAGCTTGATAAAGATAAAAGGTCGGCATTAACATATACATCTCTTATGCAAATTGATTTATATACATGTACGAAGTACTCGTTTGTGAAGCATAATAGCGCCTGTTATTAAACTACATGACTTTTAATTCTCAAACTGTGTCTGAAAAATGAAGATATATTTGAAATATGTTTGAAATAAAGGAGGTCTTAAACAAGGTTTTAGGAGTATAGATGTTCTCTTATTGTACTGCCTGACAAGCTTTATAAAAAAAGCGAGTTATTTCGTGGCAGTAAAAGTAGTGTCTAATCGGCATCTACTACTACAATAGACTACAGTAGATAGATAATTCTATCTACATTTAAGTTTGAAGAGAGATAGAAATTTAGAAAGAAATAAATAGATTGTTTATCCTACATCAAAAGTATGTTTGAATTCTATGCAAGCAATTGTTGCTTCATTTCAGCGCTCAAGTAATCGTTGATTTTATTAATGAACAATTCGAAAAATATTTAAAAGAAGAGTTGAAAATCAAACGCTGTTTGGATTATTACGATGATACACGTATCCACGCTTGTCTTTACTTCATATCACCTACAGGACATGGGTTTGCATATTTATTCTGCTTTGTTCATTATGGGGGTTAATTTATAAACGAAATTAGTCATCTACTTTTCTAGATAAGAAACACAGGGATAGTTTTAGGAAATTTTTTTGCTTGGACGTATTTCTCGCACATAGTTATATATAGTGGTTGTGTGTGATAAAACGTTTTCCCAGCTTTGTTTCTTTTTCACTTTTTCCCAGCATCTGCCAGATGATTAAAAACAATCAATCTTCTTTTTTTGATCATGTGAATGGCATACCTTTATGAATAACTTCGTAGGTTTTTTGTTTTCATTCCCAAGATTTTTTTTTGTCCGTTTGCTTGACTATGATATTATTTGTTCGTTTTTTTTTTTTTCCAAGTTATGCGACTGCCGAACAAATTAAACTTAAATTTGATAGGTTTTTCCTTCCTCTTTCTTTTTTTGCATCTTCAGTTTCTATATGTTATCAAAATTTCCCATCCGTTTGTTTTTATTGAACTTTCGTTCCTCTTTTTTCAAGGTTAAAATGTTTTCTTATGTTGCTGTTATTGTTAGAGTGAGTTGCTAATCGAAATTATTACTAAAGAAAAATCTAATCCATTTCTTAGTTCAACATCTATTGATAATCATCACATCAAAAGATGGACTGAAAGAATTCAACCCTCATATATATGAGTGGATGGTACTGTAATCTTTGCGGCATTTTTTAACCCAAATTTTAATTTTAGCAAGGAACGATATCTTCTTTATCTTACTTTAGTAATGTATATTAAGTTGAAATTTTGTAGAATAGTGTCCATCTTCGTCTATACTTAACCGTGCAAAAAGAGAAAAAAGAAATGATTAAATGCTGATTTGCTGAGCTGTGCAAAGGATGCGAATCTGTCGAAAGCCAAGATGCTTAACTAGGATAAAGATATATTTTCGTCTAAAATACTTTTCAAGATCGATTGACATTCCAATTTCAAATATTTGCTCCGTTGGACAATGTATTATTAGATGCCAGACTATATATATATTTATATATCGCATGTCTATTGTAAATATAGCTGTATATTAACAATGTAGCAATTGAGCAGTTATATTGACTAGAATGATTTTAGATCATATATTTTTGGGACTTTCGAGAGATTTACTATGATGTATTGGACATATTTGTTTTTTGATTATGTTTATCTAACAGAAAGATGAGAATTTAATGAGGAAAACATTGAATCGCCGCCAAAACTAAAGCATTTTCTTTGTTTTTTACATTTTTTTCAAAATTTTTTTTTTCTGATTTGTATCGTATCATTTTCGATGCCATCTGGACTTATTGTCCTTAATGATGCAGATGGCCATCATTCTCCATCTACCGTATCACTCTTTTTTTTTTTTTTTTTTTTAGGAAAACTTAACCATTCTTCTTTCCTTTCCCTATTCCTTTCTTAATTTGAATGTCTAACTGAACTATCGTGTTGCCTATTCATCAGAAGAAGAAAGGCGGGATGAAGAAATAGCCCTTTCATCATATATTTCAAAAATTTTTTTTCTTTATTTGGCTTTTTTATATGAGGTAACCGGTTCTTTGGATAGTTTAAATGTGATGAATTTTGTCACATTAAAATATTAAGGCTCACACTAACGTTATTTCTTTACTTCCTGTGTCACAATTTTGAATGATATGTAAAGCAAATTGAGGTTCACATTTCCGCTGACTTCCTTCATTTCCTTTCTTTTTTTTTTTGTATATGAAATTAGATACTGGGAAGTCATTTGTTCCTTCCTTTAAAGCGCATTGCCGAATGTAGGCGTTTACGTCTTTTCTAATGAATAATAGCTTTTACAAATCTTTTAGTAAATTAGTCAAAAATTTTCAGTAATATATTTGTATCTTAATGCGATAGGTCGTTGTTTAACTCGGTTTTTTTTTCGTTTAATATAGCAAGAAATCGTTAAAATCATTTGCATATTTTTATTAAGGGAAGCAGTCATATATAAATGCACTCTACCATGAATTACACTGAATGGAACAGTATATGATTTGATACTGTCAACATATTATAGTTACATTTTATCATCTATCCAGTACTTTTCCTTCGCTTTCAGAAAAACAAATATTTGTCTTTGTGGTTCTTGATTATTTTATTTCTGTAAGGGTTGTTTGTACCTACCGATCGTTGCTGGAGAAGAAATGGCATCATTATTCCATTATTCTTTGTATCGTGTCCTCTCCCTCTTCTATTCTATGATTTTGCTTTGAGGGTGGTCTGCCCAAGTATGGCATTGGCATTTCATGTTATCCAATTTACGTTTTTTGATTAAATAATATGTTAATCGTATGTTAATCAATCAGTTCTTTCATAAAGATAACAAATGACCATGAAGTGGAAGAGGGAAATCTCTTCCTGAAAATTTAAGATAGTTGAAATGTTTGTATTTTTGAAGTTTTGATTGTGATTCCTCTTCTTTTGTTTTATCAGTGAGATAAGGGATTCGTTTATGAAGTAATTTTCATTCAGCTTATTCATAACTGCGTACTTTCCAGAATTCTTTCACAGCACTTGGGAGTTTTTTTAATCTTTATTGCTGTTGTTACTTTACTGTTCTTATTTCTTTTTTAGCTCTTTTCCATCTTTACGATATTTTGATTTTTTGGGATATAATGCCGTACTGAGGCATATACGAGTATTCATTTGGAAAGTTGGAAAAATCCTGTAAATTAGGATTGGAAAAAATACATGTAAATAAATTATCTGATAAGGATCTCTTATCCTTAATATTCATCTTTCTCATCTATTTCGTTGTCTCGTTACGGTAAGATATTCCTCGGGTAGGGTATATTGACATTTTCATGATATTCTAATGCTCAGTAGGAAGTATTTTCATATTTCTTAATATTTTCAACCGTTTCTGACAAGCATTCCCACCCTATAAAATACGCTTGCTTGAACAAACAAATTAATCTGAATTATAGTTAAAATCACTTTCGAAATACAAATACACTTCACAAGATAACACGTTTTGAGGAGATTCTTTGCATAAATTATATGTGGAATATTAAGTTAATGTGTGGAGTATTAGGCTGAATTAAATACCTTTGTATTTTAACTCTTGTCTACACTTCTAAAGCTGGTCATACATCTGAATTCTGGAAGTTTTCTCTTAGGATTATGGAATTTACCGAAACTGTTCATAATACTGTTCTACCATATGTTAATTAACCTTATCACTTTTAAATGCCAAACATTGTATCATGTTGTTGATAAGAATATATGCGAAGATTAGAATCCTATGCATCTTTCCTTTCCAAATTAATTTTATGGTTTTGGAAAATTTGAAGACTTAAAAACATATGGATCTTAAAACATTTAAACTCATCTCTTATTTCGTTAAGCTTTTTTCAAGGTTGTGATAAAATTTGTGAAGATTTCCTAGGGTATTTTAGGTGTAGAGGGGTTCTCATCCTGGTTAATGCACTTAGACTCCTTATGTTTATATAATTAATTTTTTATTTAATTGATTATTATTTGTTTATTTTTTCATTCAATTAACTTATTTGTTTAATTAATTTACTTATTTGAATGAAGATTACATTATCCTCTTTTCAGACTCAAAGCACTCGATGTTGTAACACTGCAACGGCTTGCAGAACGGGTCAATGTGATACCCGTGATTGCAAAAGCTGATACCACCTGCAAAGATGAACTTATAAGATTCAAAAGCAAAGTACGTTACCATTTATGTATATATAATATTTAAAATATTCCAAAATATGTTCCAACAACTATCAAGAATTATAACTTTAATGATTTTCTTTATTCTCTTTCGTGCTATGATTATTTGTTTCACTTCAATCATTTCCACTTTCACATTTCACTTGTTTACTTAAATGCGACGTAGTAGTCATGAACATAATAATATCATACTTGTGAACATGAGCATTTCTTTCCTCTAAAAACCTATAGGTTTTATTTCGATTTTATTAAACTTCCTTTTTTTTTTTTTATTTCGTCTATACATCGGTGATAAAACTGATCGAATTAAAATGAATGCTTGAAGGAAGGATTTTGTATTTACCAGCATTAGAAAAAATGCACAACTCTGAATATTGAAAGCTTTTTTATGTTCCTGATAATTTAGGGCTTTCGTTGATTCTTTATTTTCCCATGGTTTTTATAGATTTTAAGTGAGTTACGAAGTCACAATATTCCCATCTATCAGTTTCCGACTGACGACGAGACGGTACGAGCAATAAATACGGAATTAAATCAGCTTGTGCCATATGCTGTTGTGGGCAGTACTGATTTTGTTAAAAAAGAGAACGGTAAGATGGTTCGAGCACGTCGTTATCCTTGGGGAATGGTTGAAGGTATGTGTTATTTTTTGCAAATTTGCGTGAGATAGAAGAAAAATAAGTATTTAGTGCAATTATTGAAATTAACCTGATCAGTGAGGGAAGTAAATATTTGAAATATTATTGTAATGATTTTCGTTCAAAAAATTGTCAGCCATATCAATTAAACACATGGATACATCTTAATTAATTTCTTGGCTATTTTAGTTCTAAACTGAATTTACTCATAGTAAAACACTTTCAATAATTTGAAATATGATTTCAAATTATAGTCGAAAATGAGGAACACTGCGATTTTGTCAAATTACGTGAGGCAGTATTGCGCACGAACGTGGATGCATTGCGTGAGCGGACACATAGAGTACTGTATGAAGCATATCGTCGTGAACGTTTACGTGCAATGAAGTTTGGTGATGGTGATACAGGACCTAAAATGATGGAAGCTTTCGCACAGGTTTTTTATCTCATAAATTTGTAGTAAAAATGATTGCATTGTATGAGTTTGCCTTTTTTGTAGCTAGTATTATTTAATAACTTACTTTCGGCGTTGTTCTTTCAAAATTGTAGAGCAGTCGAGTACGCAGCATTTAACTGAATAGCTTAGTTAACATTTAGGAAGTATAATTCAAGTATGAATTATCGTTCTCTATTGCTTTACGATAAAGTAGGTATGTATCGAACTTTTCATTTTCTGTTTTCTGAGTCTACAGAAGCATTCATATTGTCATTTAAACATTTAGCAGTTAAACGGAGAAGCAAAAAAGGAGAGTCGGTATAGGGTTTAGAATTTTTCGGTAACAATATGATTACACAAAAATAGGACTTCTGTTTAGACGACTTATAAGTAATGTTCTCGTTGATAGCATCTTTTTTTTATTTAGTGATGGTTAGTATATCATATGATTTTTAGAAGCAGCGTGAATTCATTGATGAAATGGCAAATAGAGATACTGTTTTTCGTGATGAATTCGCTACACGTGTTAAGAAGAAGGAAGAAGAAATGAAAAGAAGGGAAGAATTGGTTAGTTTCTTTTTTCTTCCTTTAAATTATTCTCCAGAAATTTCGTGAACTATTATTGTGAAAAGTTGATTTCCCGCTTTCCAAACTTAAAATATGATATTATTGTTGCTTTGTTTGTGGCAAGTTTACAAATTATTTCGATTTTTCTAATTTAAATTTTTTGTTGCATATTGCAGCTAAATTTACGAGCCAAAAAGATTAGCGAAAATTTTGAAGAAGAATTACGACGTATCGAATCACAAATGCATACATTATTGGAAGAAAAAGCGAAATATGAATTGAAAACAGCTGGGAAAAAAGCGAAGAAGTAAGAGAGAATCATTTCTAGTGCATTCCATCCCATATTGTTTCCTTTATCTTCTGCATTCACTTTTTTCCCATCTATTTTTTTCCTACAAATATTATTTTGCTACCGGATGGTTTTGTCCTGACAGTTATATGTGCAGTTTTTATTTAATAAAAAAAGTTGAGTTTTTTTCCTTCTTTCTTGCTTTCGTTTCTTTATTTTTCCTTTTTTTCATCTTTATGAAATGATTTTGTTTTTGGTAAGTCTCATAAAATAATCTTCTGAAATTCAACTTGCCGATTGAGGTCGGGCCGGTAGGGCTTTTCTCATTTGAAAATGATATTGAATTAAAGTTGAATTTATTTTATGTTATCAGGATGATTTTTTTTTTTTTGCTAAAAGAGATGGTTAAAAATGTTTTTGCACTGCTCAAAATAAATTTGGTACAAAATTTATATTTCCTGTTTTTTTTTGTTAGAATTTGACTGACAGAAGAGCTAGTAGTGATTGTGTCACCCTTTTATAGGGAATGTTTCAGTTCGACCTCATTATCGAGCGTTCAGTCGGAAACTGTACGATCGATTCTTTTAGTCATGAAAATTTGTTTGTTGTATTCTGATTTCTGTTTTTTATGTTGTTTTTTTTTCTTTTTTTTGCTGGAATGTGTTATCAAATATGCATTTATCAGTAAAGTTAAAAAGTGTTATCGAAGATGGTGCTCCCTCAATATCAATTTTTAGAATTGGAAAATTTAAATTGAAGCACTCAAACATTTGTTTGCATCATTTTTTTATTTTGATCTTTTTACAAGATAAGGTTTTTTAGTGTGTTAGTTTTTTTTTTTTTTTTTTGCCTTTTTACTTTTTGAAATTCCTGTGATTTCTGCAAATTATGAAGAAATAGTGTTGTAATTTGCATTTTTTTTTTCTTTCAGCTAATTTCAAAATTTTTTGTGAACAATTTCCAGAGTGGTAGGGTTTCAGATGGTTCCATAGCATTATCTTTTCTCTATAATAGAGGTGCTTTAGACTAGTTGTGCTCTTTTTTTTTTTAATAATTTATTCATAGATGAGATGAACCTGAGAATAATAATAGGGAGAGGATTTTTCGTTTTTGTTCTTTGCATTGTTCAACAAAATTATATTTAAATTTGAAGAAAAAAAATTATAAAAATTACTTGATGTATGTAATTTGCATTCTTTATTCATTTCGATTATGATTGTGAATGAAAGGATTATTGTTTCATTTCTTCAGTTTTGTTCTTTTTATGTATTTTAAATTAATGGTAAGGCTTACTTCGGAATCGGATTTTTTTTTTTTTTTTTTTTTTGACATTTGATGGTATCAGATCATTGGTTACTTGATTTGATTGATCCGATTTCGTTAGACTTGATAATTTCGACAAAGTAAAAGACACATCTTGTGTTTTTTTATGATTTTAAATTCCACATTATCACAATATTTATCTTTTTGTTGATCAGTTAACTCATTTTTATCTGTCATTTTTTTCCCACTGTATGTTATTGAGAATATTTGACTAAGATTTTTTTTTTTTTGAGGGGGGGTCTGGATTGTATCATTCCTTTTTTTTTTTAAACCGAAATTCATTCCGTTAGTTTTTTTATGAGAACCCTATTTATAGTTTTGAATTAATATTTCAACTTAACTGTAGATTTCTTTCGCTGAATCGATTTCGCTTTACGAATCTTTTTGCGCATATCTGTCAGAAGAAACAGATGGAGAATTCAGGTGTTTTATAATACAACAGGAATCATTCTAAGGTTAAGATTTCCAATATCTTCAGCAATTTTTCTCCAATCGATAATGATACTTAAATTTTTGTACTGTTTTCATCGATCATTGAATTTAGCGGAAAGGATTTCTTGTTTATTCTTTGTCTAGTCTATTTTAAAAATTACAGATCTTTTTCCCATTCTTTTGAAATTTCTCCTTGGGTTGACTTTAAATTTTCGTAGTGTTGAAGAATTGGAATCTAATTGCAGATGTCTCAGAGAACTGATCATTCATTTCTGTTCGTTTTTATTGTTTATTATTATTATCATTGCCTTTATCTCTCCGTTTAATATTTCGGTTTTGGTTTTTTTCTTTCTTGCAAATATTTTTATTTAAAAAAGAAAAGAAAGAGTGGTTCCATGTAGATATATATATATATATGCTTGTTGCAGAATAATATCAAACCTTTTAAAAGACAAAATCCATTATATCATTCCTTAAATATTCATTGTAAATATGAAAGGAATTTAGTACTGTCAAAAACATTCATTTTTTTTTTTATCAAATTTCATGCAAGCAATAATGATAATGCGCATTTGTCCTACAAACGATAGATGATCTGCAAGCATGATTGCGCATCAATCCTACAAATGATTTGCGCATTTGTTCTTCTATATAGATGATCTGCAAGCAATAATGATAAATGCGCATCAATCCTACAAATGATTTGCGCATTTGTCCTACAAACGATCTTCTATATAGATGATCTGCAAGCAATAATGATAAATGCGCATCAATCCTACAAATGATTTCCTGTAGATAATCTGCAGGTAATGGTGACAAATGCGCATCTAGCCTACATATTCGATACATGCATATTCTTTTTCCAGTTTGGATAGATGATTTTTAGCGATAAGCTGATGAAATAAATGGTTGGGGTTAATTTTGTATTACAGTTATCTTCCAAAAATATTACTCAAAGTCGAGAATAATTAAATAAAGGCTATGGGAATGATTGATATCATAAAAAATCATCGAGAACGAAGGTTTCTCATCTACATTGTGCATATTTTTTTAATTTTTTTCTCATATATCATTCTTTTAGAATGATATCCATTTAACAAATAAATGTATCATTACGATGTGTAAAGACTATCATTTTAACATTTTTTCTTTTATTAGATTTAAAACTTACTTAACATCTGAACAGGAAAATATCCTAAATTTTTTCGAGTAATTTCGATGTTTCATTGTTTCATTGATGCTTAATTGTTGCACTTTTAGTTGTTGAATTTATCGTTGTTGTTTGCGCTTCATCTTTCTTTAATTCAGCTTCTTTGTCTAATGGAAATGTTTGATTGATTGTTTCGGATCGCCGCCTTAGCTTTTGTTCATTGTAATTTACTGATTGTTGATTATAATTATCCACCTGTTGTTCACCGGAGTGTGTTTCGGCGTACTGCTCGGAATGTGTGTTGGGTACTTGTGGAGCGAAAGATTCTTCGATTATTTGTTCAGGATGCTGAAATAATGAATTTGCATAAAAATTAAGGAAGAATCAAAATGAAATTAGCATTAAATAGTACTTCAATTATTCAAAAAAAAAATCAAACTAATCATGATTAATCCTCAAATAATCTTCCACAGAATTTTCATATAATTATTTCATTTATAGTTGAAATGTAAATTTTATAAAATATCAAAATGCATTTAATACAATTTTTTAAAAACTGTAAAAAAAAGAAAAACTAAAAGATACTTTGTCATATACTCACTACAAATGGAAGTTTTGTCTAAGATTTATGAAGTTGATCTGTTTGATCGGAATACAAAAAAAAATCTCTTGAATAATCTATTAATCTATTAATCAATAATCTATTAATGAATATCTATTAATCAATAATCTATCAATGAATATCTATTAATCAATAATCAACCTAATCAGTACAATTTATGATTTTCTCTTTTAATATATCTCATTCTGTTTTTACTCATATAAAAAATGCATTCATTATCAATGTTACATTATAAAATTATCGGATAATCATAAAATAAAAACATTCTTAAAATGAACAATTTAATAAATTTGTAAAAGCTGTCTTAAAAAAAGAACTATACTAGTGATAATTATTGCATTTGATGTAATTGATAAGATAATTGATAAGCAAACCTGATCGCTCGGTCGATAACATAGTATATAAAATTTTGCTGCACATCCTTCCTCATTACGTTCAGCTACAAAATACATGCAAGCACAGTTAGGATCTACTGATGAACCTGTCAACGTTTGTCCACAACTCTTATCAGTATCATTATGCGGTAATGAATGCAATAATGGATTAAGTGGTGGACAATTACCTGGCTGAAAGTTTCACTTTTTTAAAATTATCTTTTAATCAAATTTCACTCTCACTCATAAGAATTGCTTAGAAAATATAACTAATTCTTTGTTACATCATTTTATGCTATCTATTTTATCACAGTTATTTTCAAATTTACATTTGATTATAAAAATTTATTTTTCACAATTTTTACCTTTGGAAGAATACTTGTATCTAATATTCCTTTCTGCTTTTCTCCATCTTCAGCAATTGCTAATGGACTATTTTGTGATTGAAATTCATAATTTAAATTCCTTTTGTTAGTAGCATTTAATAGGAATGATGATGATGAATTCTGTTCTGTTTCAATATTTTTTTCAACTGATTCTGCTAATTGAGATTGATAATTGGTTGGTGGTACTGCTTGTAAGCTAGCATTATAGTTTGTTGTTGTTGATACATTAGGTTGATTAAATTTTGAATCTGATAATGTCCGATCAGATGACTGATACTCTTGATCTTCTTCATCATTTGATTCGTATGAAATTGATCTCTCCTTTTTTGGATTGCTTAATTCTCTGTTAAAATTTTCTTGCAAATATTTTTCAATTTCTTTAGATAATCTAAAATAATGAGTAGCAATATAAAGTGGAATTGGTCTTTTTGCTAATTTGTTGGAATTTTTTTGATAGTTTGTTTCAGATAGCGGAAATTTTATTTTAGATTGAGAATTTAAATCAGATTCAGAACTGGAATTCGAGAGTTGATGAGCTAATTTGAAATCATCAGCATTTCTATTTTCAGCATTCGTTTCTGTTTCCGGTTCGTCCGTAACTATTCTTTTACTTCCTTTTTTAATAAATTCAGCTACTTCCGGATGAGTTAACGTACGACTAGTGCTAAGTTTTCCATTAAGACCTATCCATTTTGAAGCAATATTTCTTCCTATTTGATCTCTTCCAAATTTTATATTTGTTCCATCTGAAAAAGAAAAAAAAAAAAACTTTTTATATCATTTTTTTATAAGTGGTTAAAATCGTATTAAATTTGCATTTTAGTAATAGTAATAATATATTGACATAAGTATAATCATTATGTATAGGATTAGTTTTTTTTTTTTACTTTATGATTGATAACTTACCTTTTGGACCTATTTCAGGTTTCAGGTCATCACGTGATTCAAATTTCTCCCAATATTTGCTATCTGCAAAATATTGTATAATTTCAAATATCATTACTAAAATAATTTTAAAATGCTTGTAAAGACTTTTTACGTGGAATTGTAGTGAGAACTAAATAAAACCATACAATAGTATAAAATTCAAATTCGAATTATTTAATATTTTTAATAGAAAATCAAATAGTATACAAATAATTTCATTCATCGATTATTTATTAAAAAAAAAAAAAAAAAAGAGTAATAATTAGATTAAAACTAAATGAATAATTACTTGAATAACTTACGGGAAATTTGTGATTTGGAAAAATGAAAAATTGCCCATAGATATAACAGATGCCAAAAATTATTCATTCTAATAAATCCACCAATATTCATTATTATCATTCAAAAAAATATTCCATCATTAATCAATTATTAACAAAAAAAGAATTTCTCATTCATAATTTGAAAATGAATGAGAAAAAAACGTAAATAAAATGAAAGAAAAAAATAAATTCAAAAATTTTAATGTATATGAAATTATGATAAATGCAACTATTTTATTATAATAAATTTGATTAAACTGGAACAATTTGAGCATTCATTCCTTTTTGAATAAAGAAGCTGGCGTAACTAACTTTGCATTATAGAGAAAATAAGTAATATTTAAAGACCGGTAAAATTTTTATACAAAATCCCCTCTAGGTAAAGAAATAGGTTAATATACGATAATAATAACGAGGAGCGGGTTTTTCAAATATCATTGCTTCGGGGAATGTAAAATCTTCTTTATTAGTTAATCATTATAATAACCAGTAACTAATAAAAATATTCATCTCAAAATGTTATATGCAAAAATAATCCAATCCATAAAATTATTCATTCATTTTTATCTCTTATTTGTAATTATTACAATTATTTTAAAATATTTTTTTAAATACAGCAAACTCTATCTCTACTTCTTTTATGCTTTGAAAAAATTAAATTATTGAAATATCTTGATTTAATCTATTAGAGCAAATAATTATTAAACGTTATATTGTTAAGCAATCATGATAAAGAAAGTGTAATGATAATAGTAATAGTTAATAATAGCAATAATAATAAAAAATATAATAATATTATATCAATAATAATAATAATAATAATAATAATAATAATAATAATAATAATAATAATAATAATAATAATAATAATAATAATAATAATAATAATAATAATAATAATAATAATAATAATAATAATAATAATAATAATAATAATAATAATAATAATAATAATAATAATAATAATAATAATAATAATAATAATAATAATAATAATAATAATAATAATAATAATAATAATAATAATAATAATAATAATAATAATAATAATAATAATAATAATAATAATAATAATAATAATAATAATAATAATAATAATAATAATAATAATAATAATAATAATAATAATAATAATAATAATAATAATAATAATAATAATAATAATAATAATAATAATAATAATAATAATAATAATAATAATAATAATAATAATAATAATAATAATAATAATAATAATAATAATAATAATAATAATAATAATAATAATAATAATAATAATAATAATAATAATAATAATAATAATAATAATAATAATAATAATAATAATAATAATAATAATAATAATAATAATAATAATAATAATAATAATAATAATAATAATAATAATAATAATAATAATAATAATAATAATAATAATAATAATAATAATAATAATAATAATAATAATAATAATAATAATAATAATAATAATAATAATAATAATAATAATAATAATAATAATAATAATAATAATAATAATAATAATAATAATAATAATAATAATAATAATAATAATAATAATAATAATAATAATAATAATAATAATAATAATAATAATAATAATAATAATAATAATAATAATAATAATAATAATAATAATAATAATAATAATAATAATAATAATAATAATAATAATAATAATAATAATAATAATAATAATAATAATAATAATAATAATAATAATAATAATAATAATAATAATAATAATAATAATAATAATAATAATAATAATAATAATAATAATAATAATAATAATAATAATAATAATAATAATAATAATAATAATAATAATAATAATAATAATAATAATAATAATAATAATAATAATAATAATAATAATAATAATAATAATAATAATAATAATAATAATAATAATAATAATAATAATAATAATAATAATAATAATAATAATAATAATAATAATAATAATAATAATAATAATAATAATAATAATAATAATAATAATAATAATAATAATAATAATAATAATAATAATAATAATAATAATAATAATAATAATAATAATAATAATAATAATAATAATAATAATAATAATAATAATAATAATAATAATAATAATAATAATAATAATAATAATAATAATAATAATAATAATAATAATAATAATAATAATAATAATAATAATAATAATAATAATAATAATAATAATAATAATAATAATAATAATAATAATAATAATAATAATAATAATAATAATAATAATAATAATAATAATAATAATAATAATAATAATAATAATAATAATAATAATAATAATAATAATAATAATAATAATAATAATAATAATAATAATAATAATAATAATAATAATAATAATAATAATAATAATAATAATAATAATAATAATAATAATAATAATAATAATAATAATAATAATAATAATAATAATAATAATAATAATAATAATAATAATAATAATAATAATAATAATAATAATAATAATAATAATAATAATAATAATAATAATAATAATAATAATAATAATAATAATAATAATAATAATAATAATAATAATAATAATAATAATAATAATAATAATAATAATAATAATAATAATAATAATAATAATAATAATAATAATAATAATAATAATAATAATAATAATAATAATAATAATAATAATAATAATAATAATAATAATAATAATAATAATAATAATAATAATAATAATAATAATAATAATAATAATAATAATATAATAATAATAATAATAATAATAATAATAATAATAATAATAATAATAATAATAATAATAATAATAATAATAATAATAATAATAATAATAATAATAATAATAATAATAATAATAATAATAATAATAATAATAATAATAATAATAATAATAATAATAATAATAATAATAATAATAATAATAATAATAATAATAATAATAATAATAATAATAATAATAATGCTATAATAGTAACGATAATAACAATGGCAATTATGATAATTATAATAATAACGATATAATAATAATGATGATAATAACGATAATAATAATAATAATTATAATAATAATAATGGTTAATAAATAATAAAAGTGAACAATAACAATAACTTCACTTTACTTAGGTTATTTAAACACAGATAGTTTAAATATATAGAAAAAAAAGTTTTATTTCTTGATTTTTCAACAACTGATAAGATAATATCATTAGTAAAACAGACTAAGCCTACTATATTTTGCTTAAAATATAATATTGTAATAAATATAATTAAATTTTTACTTTTTTTTTTTGTTTTGAAAAATTTTTTTAATCAAAGTATTTATTATAAGACTAAATATAATTTTAGTATTTATTATAAGACTAAATATAATTTTAACAATTTTCCTGTTAATTTCATCAAAAAAAAAAATAAAAGTTTGATCTTTTTTTTTCTGAATACTTTTTATGTTCTATTATTTCTCATTTTTTTTTGTATTTATATTGGTTTCCAAGATTTTCACCAAAATTATTAATTAATTTAGGTTTATTTTATTTATTTTTATTCATATCAATTTAATCATTCACTGATAATTCCATTTTTCATTTAATCAACTCAACGCTGTTTTATTCATTCTGCAATAAAATATAATTATCATTCATTTCATTCATATACGAAATAGTAACAATAAATATTTAAGGAAATGTGAAATGAAAATTTTGATAACAATTCGAACAATTTAAATTTCATTAATTTAAATTGTTGATGGAACATACATTTCGTCAACAATTTCAAATCAAAATTTATACTTAATAGTTTGAGAAATTTAGTTGGCAAAAGTTACATTTCATATATCATAACGATTAATAAAAATTTTAAGCCAAAATTTATTCAAACTTAACAATTGGAAGAACTTAATTACAATTACAACAAATATGTTATATTTTATATATGCTATAATGAGTTTTAATTTTTCAATTTTTTTTTTTCAAAATTTTTTTTTCAAAAAATGAATTTTTTTTTTTTTTTGATAAGTTTATATGCTATCAAAAAATTTCTTTCATTTTTATCCAATCTGTTGAGCAAATAATAATGGTAAAAAACATAAATATTTATACAAACAAAGAATTTTTTATACATTTTTCCATTAACTGTCATAATTCAAATAAAATATTTAAACAAAATTTAATTAATTCTAACAAATTTATTGCTTTTTTTCTCAAAAAAAGTTAATTTTGATATGATTTAAAGAAATTTATTTCTTTTAAATTTTTCTAATAAATTTAATCAATTTTAAGAAATTTATTTTTCTTTTTTAACATCATCTCTCTCTTTTAAATACATCAAATAAATAAAAAAAATGAAATTCTTTCATTTAATATGCAATATTTTTTTGCTGTCCTTTTTTTTTTTTAAATTTATTTGATAATTATAAAAAAAAAAAAATTTTTTTTTTTTTTAATTCTAAAAAAATTGATCATTTGTGGGGGGAACAGAAATCAAATTGATTTTCTAATTTTTTTAAACAAAATATTTTGCTAATAATAATATTTCAATATTCAATTTGTAATTTATTTAATAGCTATAATAACTTTTAAAATGTATTGGAAATGATTGAACGAAACTTAATTTCAACAATATTTATAATTTTAATTAATTTTAAAAATATTTATGCATTAATTACAATTATAATTTTGCATGACATAATGGACAAAATTGTAAACAATTCATTTCCTCCTCAAATGCATGATGTTTACAAGTTGGACAAAGCCAAAATTGCTGCACAAGCATTGATCGACCAGTGACAATGCATGTGGGAAATTTGATGTCACAAGATGGACATATGTGACAATAATCTTGAATTTGTGCATAACAACTCGTACATTCCACTTTATTCATTTGTGTATCTTTTGGTGAATATCTAAGAAATAATTATCGTTTAGTTAATTAATTAATTAATTAATTAATTAATTACACTAATTACTTTTTCCATTAATTCATTTTTGTGATTTAAAAAAAAAAAAAGAAAACAAAATAAACTTACTTAGTAAAAATTTTCATTGCAAGTTTTTTATAACTTTCCTTTTCATCTGCAGAAAATGTTTCCAAATTTTCTAATTTAATAAATGCACGACTGCAAACAGCAAACTGTCGTGTAGCACAGCTTGATAATGCTAAAAAAAAATAATTTAATTAGAAAATTTGTTTAAAAAAAAAAATGAAAAACAAAATAAACAAACAAACAAACAAACAAATAAACAAACATACATTGATTGAATTAAAAAATTAAGTTAATAAATTCGATGATACATTATATTGTAATGCATTTCATTCATCCAAAATTTGAATTATTCCTATTTTTTTTTTTTTTTAAAGTAATAAATTAATTTTTACTATTCCTATATTCGAATAAAAATAAATTTGAAATATATAACACCAACCAAGAAGTGAATAAATTTCAGCTGGATCGATAAGATCTTCATAATCTGTTAAATGTAATGCTGTCATCATTGCATTATTTATATCACCTGTAAGTTTTTTGTAATTCAAATTTAAATCAAATTTTTTATAAAATTTAATTTGAGTCAAATTTATGAAATTTTCAAAATGGAAAAAAAATAACAAAGTATCTAAAGTAATCAAAAATAAATGTCAAATTTAATAATGAAAATTGAACTTTAAATTATTAATTTAAATTGAAATTTTAAATGAAACATTGTATGTCAATCGATGTAATCAGTATGAATTCGAGAGAGTTTGTAAAATAAATGAAACATTTTTCTAACAAACAATTTATTTTATTAAATTTAAATGTTAATGATATTCTTTTAATTGTTATGTATTATTTATTATTCACTTTTATTATAATAATATATTTAGCAAATAATTAATTTATACTATTTTAACACAACAGCAATAAATAAATAAACAAACAAATAATTTTTTTCCATGTAAATTTATGAAATTTTAAAAATTTTAAAGGACCATTATAAAGTTGACGATGTGCAAGCATGTAAAAATGATATGCCTCAGCACCACGCCATGCATTATCAATGATAGTACTATCAGCAAGCGAAATTTTACTGTCCACTTCTAGTAATCCTCTGAGAGCTATTTCTGCCTAAAATGAAATTCATTCTTATCAGCAATTTATTAATGTTAAAAGATATTCAATGCACTTTTTTTTTGAAATCAATTTTCTAAATTTTACAATCTTTTTTTTTTGATGATTAAATTGAAGTATGGCATTAGATAAATAATTAATTATATGTTAAAAAGATCAAAGACTACGTTTCATGCAAATTTTGACATTGCAAACTATTCGTTGACTAATGAGGAAAGTAAATGATTACACGTCATTTTTGACTGATAAGGAGAGAGGAAGGTTACACGTCATTTTTGACTGATAAGGAGAGAGGAAGGTTGGTTACACGTCATTTTTGACTGATAAGGAGAGAGGAAGGTTGGTTACACGTCATTTTTGACTGATAAGGAGAGAGGGAGATTACACGTCATTTTTGACTGATAAGGAGAGAGGATGGTTGGTTACACGTCATTTTTGACTGATAAGGAGAGAGGGAGATTACACGTCATTTTTGACTGATAAGGAGGGAAAGAGAGAGAGAGAGAGAAAATTATTTGAAGGCTTTTTATATGATATTTGCTTTATCAGATTATCTCGTAGAAGAAAACATAAAGTCTAACATCAGATTTATTTGCTGATTCCTTAGCAATTTCTGATTTATTTTGTTCGTGATACTGTTCAATAAGAAGAGCGCCCATTACGTAAAGTTTTTTTAAACGTAATGCTTCAGCTTGTTTTAAACGTTCATTATTTGCAATCTGAAATTATAAAATCGCTTTTTTAAAAAAAAAAATTTCCATTCTTTTAAGAAAGAAATATATATTCAAAACATTTTATCTAAATAATTTTGACAAAAAACAAAACAATAAAATTACGTTTTTCAACAAAAAAAAAAAAAAAAATTTGTTTGTTAATTCTGATAATTCATTACATAAATTGTGAATTTTTCAAAAAAAATTTGATATATTTCAACAACTGATAAAATGTGTAATATAGTTTGTTTGTTTGTTTATTTTCATTATTTCATACAAAATATTATCTGCAAGTTTTTTTTTTTTGAATTATTATTTAAGTAATCTGAAATAATAAAAAGATTATACAAAGTAAAATGATAACATACATCAAAAATAATACGAGCAGCTTCCAAATATTTGCCAGCTCTTCGGTAAAGTTGTGCTGCTGCTAATGTTTTCTCGTTACTTCCTAAAAAAAAAAAAAAATTAATATTTTTAAAATTATATTGTTAATCAATTTTGATAATTTAAATGCTACAAATTTAAGATATAAATTAATTTACTCTCTATCATATATATTCCTATCTTTTAAGTCTAATTAATTCTGGAAAAAAAAATTCGTCTATATTTTATATGAAATATATTTCATTAATACCATTCATTTCTAAATAATTTATCTTTATCAGAGAAACTTATCACCAAATGATATCATTCATTTCCAAATAACTTATCAAAGATAGTTATCATTATTTGTAATAAATCAAAACATTATTATTATCACTATTTACGATGATAAGTCAAAACATTGTATAAGAGACATTGTTCTAGAAAAAGATAAACAAATAAACAAGTAAACAAATAAAATATACCAGTTAATTGTTCAGCATAACGATTAAGTAATAAATGAACATCGCGAAGATTATATGTCTTCGATAGTTGAACTGCTTGTTCCCATTGATTTAATTGTATGCAAGCATCTAATGCTTCATTTAGCATATCACACTAAAATTAATAAAATAAATGATTGATTAAAATTTAATATTTAATATGGAATTGTTGTTTTTGAGTAATATTTAATAATTATGGTAATTTCTTTCAAAATTGATAAATAAATGATTGATTAAAATTTACTTTTCATCATATAACTGTTTTTTTTTTTGAAATGATATATAATAATTAAGGTAATATCTATCAAAATTAATAAATAAATGATTGATTAAAATTTGCTTTTCATCATATAATTGTTATTTTTAAATGATATATAAGAATTCAAGATAATTTGTGTCAACTTGCTTTGACATCTTTCATCTGAAAGAAAATTGTCATTCTTAATGATTACGTAAATATTTCGTCTTTTCCAGTTTAGTCGATCATTGAGAAATACATTGTGATATCAATTAACTTATCATTAAATTAAGCTATCTTTTTTTTTTTTTTTAAATTGATATCATTTTTACAAGGATAAATATTTTATATATTATACTAAAATAAATTAATTGATTAAAATTCAATATATGATTGTTTTTTTTTTTTTTTGCAAATAATATTTATTAAATAAAATAATTTGTGTCAAATTGCTTTGTAACGTATTTCGTATCAAAAAAAAGCGCTAATTTTCTCTTTTTAAAAAATTTATTTATTTAATGCTATTGGTGGGTCATTGATCACAAATACATCGTTTAAAACATTTGAATTAAAAATAAAAAATTAATTCAATCAATTAAATCAATTAAAATTAATTAAATCAATTAAAAAATCAATTAAAAAATAAAAATTAATTAATTGAATACAAGAAAAAGAAAAAAACAATAAATTATTTTGTAAACATTACCCGTACAAAACATTCTACTGCTTGTTCACATAAGCCAGCGCTTAGGAAAATTTCACCAATTTCCTACAATAAAATAAATTAACAATAAAATAAATTAATACTACAATAAAATAAATTAATAGTAAATGTTTTGGCAATAAAAAAGAAAATTAATTGGATAAAAAATTTAATAATTTAATACAAATTTAACTTATTCCTCTTTTTTTTCTTTTTTTTTTTCATATTTTAGCAAAATTTTATCAGCAGGAAAAGAAATATAATAAATATTTTTTTTGTCGTTAATCAGTTAAAAAAAATTTTAAATAATTGCTAATTAATACTTAATTAATTATAACACATTAATAGTTATAAGTAATAAATTAAAACAAAGATTTACAGCGATAAGTTTATCACCATCAGGTAAACGTTTTGCTAATAATTCCAATTTATCATAATTATCATCCATCAAATAGCATCGAATCAGTTGCTTATGATTTTCTCCTTTTTCATAGTAACTTTCAGCTTGTTTCCTGGAATTTTTTTTTTTTTTTAAATTTAATTTTCAATTAATTGCGTTTTTTATGATTATGTCAAAGTGTCAAAGTTATTTCCTTCAACTATATTCGTTCATTTAATTGAATTAAATACATAAATATAACAGTGATAAGCTATAAATACATCAATGAATATTTACAGCTTATCACTAAGTAAACATTACTAACTTAAAAAATAATCAAATATTTGTTGACTTCAAAGAAAAAAATTTAATTTTCAATTAATTGCGTTTTTTATGGTTATGTCAAAGTGTCAAAGTTATTTCCTTCAACTATATTCGTTCATTTAATTGAATTAAATACATAAATATAACAGTGATAAGCTATAAATACATCAATGAATATTTACAGCTTATCACTAAGTAAACATTGCTAACTTTTGAAGAAAAAAACTTAATTTTCAATTAATTGCGTTTTTTATGATTATGTCAAAGTGTCAAAGTTATTTCCTTCAACTATATTCGTTCATTTAATTGAATTAAATACATAAATATAACAGTGATAAGCTGTAAATACATCAACAAATATTTACAGCTTATCACTAAGTAAACATTGCTAACTTAAAAAATAATCAAATATTGTTGACTTCAAAGGAAAAAAAAAAAAACTTTTAAATTCGTTTTGCATCCATCTCAGGTAAACTTACCATTTCTGTCGTTCAGCATAGTAATCACCAACATGATTCCATGCTTTCATCAATAATTCATCATCACCTGGTTGTTTACTTTGTTGTAAAATTTCCACAATTCGAAACCAATCATTCATTTTTTCTCGTAGTTCAAGTGCTAAATCACGTCGATCATTTTCCATGTAAATTTTTTCCGCTTCATCAATACGTCCATAAAATGTTGCTACTTCAGCTTTCTTGAATTCATCATTCTAAAAATAATTTTATAAGATTGAAAAGTTAAATTTTTTTTTTCCTTCACTCAGAAGTAATTTAAATGATTGATAATCATATTGAAAAATAAAAAGATTAAAATAGAATTAAAAGTTGAAAGAGTAAAATTGTATAATTATTGATAATATGCTAACATACTACCTGTAAATTACCAATCCGTTTTGATAAGTTATATTCCGGCATAATCCTTTAAATTTTTTTTTTAATTTTTTTTTTCCTTCACTCAGAAGTAATTTAAATGATTGATAATAATATTGAAAAAAAAAAAAGATTAAAATAGAATTAAAAGTTGAAAGAGTAAAACTGTATAATTATTGATACCTGTAAATTACCAATCCGTTTGATAAGTTGTATTCCGGCATAATCCTTCAGCATTATGAATGCATGTTCCGCAATAACCGTATCTAACCGTTTTAATGCTACCTCAGCTAGTAATGCCCATAATTTTGGATGATTGTTCTTTTCGATAAATGCTGTTGCTTCATCAATTTTCATCTTCTCTAACAGATTTTTCGCATTTCGAAGTAACTGCAAAAAAAAAAAAACAAAATTTTAGGAAAAAAGTTTTCTTTTTTTTTTTTTTTTTTAAAAATAAAAAAAATTTAATTACCCAATAGCAATTTGATAAATATATTTTTTGATGAAAAATTATATTATTGCATTCATTAATTTGCATTAATTTGCACAATTTATTTCATAATAAAATGAATAAGAAATGAATTACTAAATTAGTTCAATTTGAATATCAACGATTTGCATTATTTTTTGTAAATAAAGTTATTAATTACTAAGGTATTTTAATTTTAACATAAATGATTTGCATTATTTTTATAAATGAAAAAATCAACATCGATAATTTCAATTATTTTTATAAGTAATATTATTAATTTACTAAAATACTTTAATTTTGATATCAATGAATTGCAATATTTTTATAAGTAATAATACTATTTACTAAATTACTTTAATTTTGATATCAGTGATTGCATTATTTTTATAAATAAAAATATTAATTACTAAATTACTTTAATTTCAACATCAATGATGAATGATTTATGCGGTGTGTCAGGATTTTTCATTAATTCATCGAGAAGTACGGTACGAACGATCAAATTTTTAAATGAGCAAATATAACCATTATTAATAATTGGTTCTTCAATTTCTTTATTTCTAATAACATACAATCGTGCTTTCTCCATTACTGCTATTGTATCATCTTTTTCCTATAAAATATAATTATTACAAATTGAATGAATTAATAAATTTAAATATTTAAATTTTTTACTTAATTAACATATGATTATTTGATGTACACAAATTTGTTTTATATTTTAATATAAATTTTGATTTATAAATATATTTATCCATTTATCCTTTTTTTTTTCTTTTGTTCTTATTCTTTTAATATATTTGAGCAAATTTTAGTCTTACTTAAACAATTTAAATTAAACAAAATCAATTTCTAAAATGACATTTTTACAAAAATTTCTTTTTCATTGTTTATTTCAATTTTTTTTTTTAAATGAAGAAAAAAAAAGAAAGAAAAAATTTTACGGTTAAAATATAATATATTAAAAGAAAAAAAAAAAATTTCTTTCTTTCCTTTCTCATTCATAATTATTGCATAATTTAAAATTTCTTTCCTTTTTGATAAATTTTCTTTTTTTTTTGAAAATTAAAATTTAAAAAGAAAAATTTTTTTTTTTTAAAATATTTACCGAATCCCACTTAATATTCCATGCATCAGTTCGTTCAAGATACAATGATACTACAATATTATCACGTAATTCAAATAATTTTAATCCTTTAGCAGTAAGTGCAGCAATTCGAGTTCCATTACAATTCAATTCTAATTTTTCAACTCGACAACCCAAATTAAGAACTGATTGTAATTTGATTTCTGGCAGTGAATAATAATTTGCTACGCCAGAATTTCGACACTGCAATCACGTTTTACTTTTAGTTCACGTAATTTACGTCAATAATATTATATTATTGTAATTTTTATTAATTATATTAAAAATTTCACATTTATAAAAAAAAGGAAAAAAAAAAAGGAAAATTAATGTTAAAATAAATATGCTAAATGTAGTAGCAAAGAAGAAAAAATTTAATAAAATTACTGAAATGAATGAGAATGACTGACTGATAATAATGCATAAAATTAATTTAACCAATTTTTGAAAATATTTTGAAAAGTATTAGTTAAAAACAAAATTTTGATTTAAACACTTACAACGAGAATGAATTCCTTTGAGATTCCTATTGCACATATTTCATCTCTCTGCCGCTGAAATAAATTTTGAGCAATGATTATTTGAAATTTTTTGGACAAAAATTATGTTATTTACGTGTAACGTAATATTTGCTTATTTATACTTAATTACAAATTCATTTTATTATGCCAATTGCGCAATATTTAATGCTTATTTGGAACTAATTACTAATTGATTTAATTATGCTAATTAACAATATTTAACGTTGTAACGCAATATTTAACGTTTGTTTGTATCAAACTACTAATTCATTTAATTGTGCTAATTACGTGATTTATACCTAACTACTAATTCACTTAATTATGTTATTTACGTGCAACGTATTATTTAACGTTTATTTATACCTAATTACTAATTCATTTCATTATATTAATTACGTGTAACGTATTTCTCAACGTTTATTTATACCTAGCCAATAATTCACTTGATTATGTTATTTAGGTGCAACGTAATATTTAACGCTTCTTTATACCTATAATTCATTTCATTATGTTAATTACGTGTAACGTATTTCTCAACGTTTATTTATACCTAATCACTAATTAATTTAATTGATCTAATCACGTGTAACGTAATATTCAACGTTCATTTATGCTAAGTTACTAATTCTAACGTAACATTTAATGTTTATTTATACTTAATTACTAATTCAATTAATATCTACATAAATTAGAAATGAAATACGTAACATTATTAAGTATTCTGTTATTCAATTCAAAAATTTGATTACTTGTATTCGTCCTCGCATAATATTAGATGATGTGACATCAATTTCATCATTTTCATCAACATAATATAACCTAAAATTTCATTAATTTTTTAAAATATGTTAAAGAAAAGAATAAAAAAAGCAAAATATTAGAAATAATTATCACTAATTTAATCACTAATTTATCGATTATGATGATAATAATAGAAAGTTAAAAATAAAAAGAAATATTATTAAAAATGAATTAAAATATCAAAAAGACTAAAATTTTATTTTCAATTAAAAAAGAAAAAAAAATTATCAAAATGAAATTTTATTTACTTTTGATCATTTGTCATTGAATCGTCAACATTTACATTTATTTCTCTATTTATAACACATGGAATATTATACTGCCAAATGGTAAATGATAAATTATTTGCAATTACAACTTCAGAATCATTCATTGCCACATATTTTGGCTCTAAATTAATATATTTGGAATCGATTGTTGTTCCAATACCATTGCAAATTTGCATAAGATACTGAAAAATATATTCAAATAATTAATTACTTAATTTTCTTCAAATTTATCATTTAATAATAAATAATTACTTAATTTTTCTTAATTAACTATTTAATTATAATTACATTTTCTTTCTTAAAAATTCAATCTTTTTTTTGTGTCATTTGTAAATAAATATTAAAAAAGAATAGATTTTTTTAAATAATTAATTGCTTAATTTATAATTTTTTCTTCCTTAACAATTAAACTACATTTTTTTGTTGTTTCTTTTTCAATTAAAGTAAATTTCATTTCAATGTTTCACTGCAAACATTTCATTGATTATTTATCACAAATGAATGATTAGATCAATAATGATAACATATAATTAGTAATAAGTGATAAGGAGAAGAAAAAAGAAAAAGAAACCTGGCCAATTTGATTCTCTACACGTGTTATCAAGATGCAATGTTCATTCATTGATAAGTGATAAGGAGAAGAAAAAAGAAAAAGAAACCTGGCCAATTTGATTCTCTACACGTGTTATCAAGATGCAATGTTCATTCATTGATAAGTGATAAGGAGAAGAAAAAAGAAAAATAAACCTGGCCAATTTGATTCTCTACACGTGTTATCAAGATGCAATGTTCATTGGAAGATGCTAATGCAACTATTGGTTTGACATATTGTAAATAAGCTTCTTCAAGTTTTGTTTGAAAAAATACCACGCAGTGCTCTTTACTTTCCATTCTTTCATATGAATAAATAACTGTATGACCACAATAAGCCCACTGAAAAAAAAAAAAAGGAAAAATGAAATGAAATTTTAAAAAATAAAATTTTGAAAGAATTCAAAAGATTCTTTGAAGTATACTTTTTCTTTTTTTTGAAAATTATCATAGCATAATTTATATGCCATTTTAAAATTAACTTACTTATATCTAATTTGACTTATTTCTTGCAGATAATCAATTTATTTGGACTTTCATTTTTTATGGATATAATATTTCAAAAAAAAAAAAAAAAGGGAAGGAGAGAGAGAGATCAAAAATATTAATTCAATAATCAAATTATTAGAATTAATTTTTTATTATCAATAATAAATTAAATTTAACAATTTATTGATTGAAACATTAATTTGTATAAATTAAATTTAATTTTTTACTTTTGAGATTTTAAATCTTTTTCAAGTTTATGCTCGTATTTATAATTTAAATTAATTTAGATGGAATAATTTGTAATAAATATTTTCACACTTTGTAATCGAGTCGAATGTTCGCAAAGAATAAATGGCTATCAACTGCTGCACAAAGTCGTAAGCCATCACCTTCCCATGATATATCAGTAATTGCTTGTCCTGGTACTAGCAAATTTCTTAAAGGCTAAAAAAATTTTTTGAAAAAATATCAAATAATATATGCAAAAAGAGAATAAAATAATTTTTAAAAAATTTTTCAGAAATAAAATTTAAAATATTTAATCATAAAGTTTTTTTTTCTTTTTTTTTTGTACTTTTCTTCCTTCAATGCAATCAAATAATTAATTTCAATAAAAAAAAACGATAACAAAAAATATTTTTAATTTAAAAGAATATTTTTTTAACATTTTGTAATTTTTGTAAGTAATAAACTATTAAAGTAATTCAATAAAAAAATAAGTAACAAAAATTATATATTTGTAATCAATGATAATTTCTTTTTTTTTTAAAAAATAAAACATAAAAATGTTTTTTATTCTTCTTTTTATTCTTCCTTATACTATCAAAGAAAACAAAAAATACTTGTATTTTAAAAGAATATTTTTTTAAATTTTTGTAATTTTTGTAAGTAATAAACTATTAAAATAATTGAATGAAAAGCAGCTATTAAAATAATTCAATAAAAAAAATAAATAACAAAAATTATATATTTGTAATCAATATTTTAAAAAAAAAAAAAAGAAATAAATAAATAAAATTAATTACCTCTCCATAAGCAGTTATAAAATGTATCATACATTTTTCATCTTCTAAATCTGTTTGTAAACCACAAATTGCAATCATTGAACCATCAGATGACCAACGTGCCTTACTAATTATCATATTTGGTATTTTTATGATAACTGGATCTGCATAAATTAAATTAAATTAGTAATTATAATTATTATATTCATTTTAAATATACAAAAATAAAATTTTTTAATTTTTTAATTATTATCAAAAAAAAAGAAAAATAATAATTATGTTAAAATTCTATTATTAATTATTAAATATTAAATACTTGAATCATTTTCATGTCGCATTAATTGTATGATACCATGATTATATGCAACGAGAAATCGCGGTCGATCATCCGGGATATGACATCGTCGCAGTGACAAAAATTTAATAATTATTAAATTTTGCAATTAGATTTGAAACTAATACATTATAACGATTAAAATAATGCAGAAAAAGAGAAATTTAAGGAAAAAAATTCATAATATTAAAAAAAAATTATTATTTAAATTTATATTTTATTTGTATGATACATTTAATTAATTTAAAAATTACAAAATTTTTGCTTATATTTTTGTTTTTGTCAATTTTAAATTAATTAAAATTAATTTGATAATTGCTTGAATAGTCATTTGTTTGAATAAATTACAACAATTGAAATAATGCAAAGTGAGTAAGCAAAGGAATTTTAATTTTTTTTCTAAATATTCATAATATTAAAAAAAAATTATTATTCACTTTCATATTTAATTAATTTAAAAATTACAAAATTTGTGCTTATATTTTTGTTTTTGTCAATTTTAAATTAATTAAAATTAACTTGATAATTGTTTGAATATTCATTTGTTTGAGTTAATGGAGTAAACCATTCCATCGAAACAATTGTAATACGTCGTAAATCTTCTAAAATAAAATTTTGAATTAAAAAAAAACAAATTTTATTTATTTAAATTATTTTTATCAATTTGAAAGTAATCTTTTTAACATAGCAAATGAGACATATAGTTGAAATAATTTTCAATTAGACAAAAAATACAAATAATTTACTATTTAAAGCTGTTTCCAATTCAACATTTTCTATGCAAGCCATACGTAATTTATATATAAATACACCTGTCGCATCATATGACTGTATTTCACCGTCTATTAAGCCGAATAGTACCAATGATGAGTCACCTGACCACTGTAATAATTTCAAAAATTTCAATAAAATTTTTTCAAATAAAATTTAATTTTAATATTACACTTATAATATCAATGATAAATTATTTTATTTTTGTTTTTTTTTTATTAATTATAGTATTTAGAAAAGAACTTAAAATTATACAAAAATAATCTCAAAAATATGGAAAAACTTTTATTTCTAACTTTTATTTATGTGATTTTCTTTGTTTTCTTATCTTTTTTTCATTTCTTTTAATAATAAAATTTGATCTATCAAAATTATCAAACATTTTTGCTAATTAAAATTTTGAAAAAAAAAGATTTACACAGAGTGTCACCAAATTACTTGCAACATTTTTATTCCATAAACGATTCCCATCAACCGAACCAACAATTGCTTGTCCTAAAAGAAATAAAATTAAAAAATTATAATTTAAAATTTTGCTTCTTTTTTTTTTCTAGAAAAAAAGAGTCATCAATAATATATATATATTATCTAATTAAAAAAATGCTTCTTTCATTCAATATTTTGATCTAATTTTTTTTTTTTTTGTGATCATTCTCGATTAAAAAAAATTTTTTCTTTCTTGATTTGATTTTTTTTTTGATTTAAATTTTTTGTAAACATTTCTTTTGTTTTTTGTAAACATTCAAGAGAAAACAATAAATCTTTTCAAAATCTGTTCTATTCGTTGCAAAAAAAAAAAAATTTAATTCATTAAAATTTTTTAAATTTCATTTTTAAATTAAAAAAAAAAAAAAATGAAAATTAGTGCATTATTTGAGCTTTTTCCATTTATTCCATTTCTTCATTAATTTTATTTTTTTTCAGCATTTTTATACAATTCGTTTCATTCATTCATCCATCATTTTCTACCATTTTCTTCAAATCAGCTTCAAACAATTTTTATTTCTCTTTTTTTCAATATTATTTGATAGTATCGAATTTAAAATCTTTTATAATTATAAAACTACAATAAGATAAGTATTTCTTGTTTGCATAATATTGTAGTAAAATAATTAATACTTATTTTAATATAATACTATGATTTTGGTATTACTTATTTTGAGAATTAAAAATTTATACTTGAAATGTAAATATGTATTAGTTATTAGCATAATATTAATATTTATTTCAATATCATATTATGATAGGTATTACTTAATTTAATAATTAAAAATTAATGTCTAAATTAAGATAAGTATTACTTGTTAGCATAATATTGTAGTAAAATAATTAATGCTTATTTCAATATCATATTATGATAGGTATTACTTATTTCAAAAATTAAAAATGAATACCTAAATTAAAATAAGTATTACTTGTTTGCATAATATTGTAGTAAAATAGTTAATACTTATTTTAATATAATACTATGATATTGGTATTAATTATTTTGAAAATCAAAAATTTATACTTAAAATGTAGATAGGTAATAGTTGTTAGCATAATATTAATATTTATTTCAATATCATATTATGATAGGTATTACTTAATTTAATAATTAAAAATTAATATCCAAATTAAGATAAGTATTACTTGTTTGCATAATATTGTAGTAAAATAATTAATACTTATTTTAATACCATAGGTATTACTTATTTCAAAAATTAAAAATAAATACCTAAATTAAAATAAGTATTACTTGTTTGCATAATATTGTAGTAAAATAATTAATGCTTATTTCAATATCATATTATGATAGGTATTACTTATTTCAAAAATTAAAAAAGTATACTTAAAATGTAAATAGTATTTAAATGATAAATGATTAATTTTAATTTTAAACGATTTCACCATAAAATATTTAAATTTAAAAATTAAAAACGACTAATTGAAATTTTAAAATAAATGACAAACCATCCTCATAAGCGATTGCAATTTTACTACCATTATGACTCCATGCCATACCAACCACAACTGATTTATTCCTTTTGTTGATCATTTCCTCATACCAACTATCACTTTGTGTCAACCAAACAATTATCAAACCATTACTGTCGCATGTTGTCAACTTCTGATAGCATTCATTCCATTCTGCTATATGAACAACATTCGAATGTCCATCTAAATTTTGATTCATTGATAAATTTGTTGACATTGTTGTTGTTGTTGTTGTTGTTGTTGTTGTTATTGAGGAAGCATTGTTATTGTCTGCAAAAGTTATTTTAATTGTTTATTTACCTATCATTTATATTTAAGTAATATATTTTAAAACGTTAAATATTTTTTTTTTTTGTTGTTATTGAGGAAGCATTGTTATTGTCTGCAAAAGTTATTCTAATTGTTTATTTACCTATTATTTATATTTAAGTAATATATTTTGAAAAGTTAAATATTGTTTCTTTAAAAAAAAAAAAAGAATTTTTACTATTGAAGTTTTTTTTGAGAAAGAAGAAGAGAAATTTGAAGAAAAAAAAAGTACTAAATATTTTATAAAATATTGGAAATAAATAAAATAAATATAAGAATAAATGTGGAAATATTGTATTGTTTTTTATTTCAATTCTAATAATTTTTAAAAGAAATTAAAACAGAAAAAAAAAGTAAAAAAAGGCACTAACTGGAATTTGATGGTAGTTTAAGAATTTTAAGTAATCCTTGATTTCCACCAGTTGCAATATATCCTGATGTTTTCATCCATGATACACAATATAGTTTAGTACTATTTGGAATTGAAATCTAAAATATATTCAAATTTTAACCTAAAATTTTGATTTATTAAAATTTAAGAGCAAAAAAAAAAAAATTTCTCTTTTTTCTTTTTTTTTTGTTTTTTTTTTTTTCATTGCAAATAAAATATGCTATCAATCAAACAAATGCACTCTCAAGAGATGAGTTGAATAGCAATTTCATTTCTTTTTCATATAAACTTCCATTTCTTAATCAGTGATAAAAAAAAAAAACAGAAGAAAGTAATCATAATAAAATGTCACCAAAAACAAAAATGTCACCAAAAACAAAAATGTCACCATGTCACCAAAAAAATGAGACACTTAAGGATGTCAACTTTTACCATTTATCTAGCAAAAATTGTTAAAATCCTGATGTAAATATTGATGAAAGTTAGTTTTCTTCCTATTTATTTCGTTTTTTTTTTTTTTTTTGCTTTTTTAAACTTTTTTTGTTTTTTAAAAAAAAAAAAACGAAAATTAAATGAATAAAAATATAACCTTTTTGCTTAGATATACAAATATCATTCAAATTTTGTTTCAATGCAAAAAATTGTCAAAGAGAATTTGAATGAAATTTAAATTATTGATTAGTTTGCTAAACTGAAATTAGCTGTTAGAAATATATTTTCTTAGTTGTTGTTACCATGGTAATAATTCCAATACTGCTTATTGCTGCATAATTTTAACTAACAAAATTATATTTTTACAAGACAATAATTGCAAATTTAATACTTAATAATCGAAATTAAATTTTTTCGATTGTAAACTTTAAATATCTAACAAATTTTAAATTACTACTTGGATAATTTCAATCAAAATTTTAAATTATAAGTGAAAAAAAAGAGATTTAAAACAAAATCTCAATTATAAAAAAAAATAAACTTTGTCAAAATTACGGAAACATTTAGCTCATATATAAAAAAGAAAATTTTTTTTTTCTTCAAAATTTATTTTTATTATTAACAGTTAGAAGTTTTAGTAATACTTTTTAGCTTTCAAAATATTTATTTAATCTATGATGTAATTATTTTTTTTTTCAAACAAAACTTTGTAAAATTAAAATTTTAATTTTTTTTTAACTCATCTTTTTCCTGATAATTAATTAAAAAATATTTTTAGAAACAGAAAGTTAAAGTTTGCAGCAAAATTATAAAAAAAGAAAATTGCTCAACAAACTTCAAAAAAGAAAAAAGAGAATTTAAAATTGCACTAACAAAATTTTTCAAATTGATTAATAGAAATATTTTCATTCAGTAAAAAAAGTATTGTTTCTATTTGTTGAAAACAAAATGAAAATTATTAGTTTTATTTTTTATAAACTTTGAATTTTAAAATTTTTGAATTACTTATTAAATTGACATTTTATTATTAATTTGAATTTTAACTTGTAAAATTTTGACTAATAAAATAATATTTAATGCTTTTGACAAATTGTTTATCAAATGTTTTACTCAAGTACTTAAGTACCTAATATTGTCTGAAACTAATAAAAGTGATAAATGAAAAATACCGAAAAACAAATTTTCAATTTATTTCGCTCATTTTAATTCAAAAAAAAAAATAATTTCTCTGAGAGTAGAAATCGATTATTTATTTATATTTCATTTTCATTTCATTTTTTTTTCAGAAATTTTTATTTTTCTTTTGTTTTGCAAAAATTTAATTCAAATTTGATAATAATGTAATTAATATTATTAGTAATAATTATTCTCAATTATTACAGTAATGTTTATATTTAGTACTTGAAATAATTGAAATAATTAAAATACAAAACAATTTTTTTGTAAAAATTATTGTTTACTTAATTGTTAGTAAATGTAATAATTGCCAACTTCAAATTAATTTCATTTCATATAATCAGAAATGATAAAACTGTTATCAATTCTGTTTGTGTTAAGCGATCAAATTGAGATTGCTCAAAATATAATTATAATATATTTAAAGTTGTATTCTATATTCGATAAAAGTAATTAAGAAAAATAATAAGTATTAGCCAACAAATACTCAATAATTGTACATTGGATAACAATATTCTAATTAGGCCAAATCTAGGCTAAGCCTAGTTAAGGCTAAGTTAGAAATAATAATATTCTAGCTAGGCCAAACACCTGGTTAGAATATTGTTATTTTCATTTTTTGCTTAAAAGAATGAGAATAATTCATTTAAATTATTAGTGCAAAAATTTGTTTATTCAACATTTTTTATTAAAAAAAAAAAATAAAAATTTTCAAATTTACTTTTTTAGAAAAAAAAAAATTATTTTATAATAATAAAAAGTGAGAAAACGATATAATATTTAAATTGAATAAGAAAATGAATAATTAGTTTGCATTTCTGATTTGATAATTAAATAATTCAGTTTGATATTTTTAAAATAAGTGAAAAAAATTATGAATAATTTAAAATTTTTAATGCAAAATTAATTCTTTCAATTTCAAATCAAATTTTAATGTTTCATTTTTTTTTTTTTCAAATAAATTTCAATAATGTAACTTAGAATAATACTAGAAAATGCAAAAGAAAACGAAAAGAAAAGATTAAAAAAAAAGTAGAAATAATTGAAAATTAAAAGGAAGTAATGAAAATATTTAAGAAAATGAAAGTTAAAACTAATTGTGTAAGTTTTCATTATCTAAGCTATAACCAAATATATATAATTTTTTCTGAAACTATTAAATAATATTTCAAATTTTAAAATTAATTAATCATTTGCTTATTTTTAATTGTACACTATTTATTATTCATAGAATTAATTAGTAAAAAAAAAAAAAAGTTTTGTTCATTTAGAATTAATTAGTTAAATTGCTCATTAGAACAATAGTATTTAGTGTAAAATTCTATCCATTTTTAAAATTAAATTAAAATTAAAAAAAATTTATTAAATTAAAAAAAAATTCTATTAAAGTATTATAATATTATATTAATTGCTCAAACATTTTTAATTTTACAATTTATTAGTTTAAAATAATATTTGTTCAGTTTTTTTTTAATTTATCACTAAGTAATTACAATTTAATTAATTTTTTTTCTTAAATTTAAAAAAATTTTTTTCTTGCTAACATTAAATGTTACGTTTAATCATTAGTTAACATTATAATTACGTAATGGATGTAAACAAATATTAATAATTTTAAATTATAAAAATATTACTTTGCTTAATTACGAATAATTTTTGATGAAAGTATATGCGTGTATATTATATTTATTTCTATTTGCTATTCTTTTTTTCAAGCATACTAAAATATAATTTATTTCATAATGTTTTATCTAAAAATAAAAAATAGAAAAATTATTTGAAAGCTAAAATTGAATTAAATTTCGTATAGGAATGAATTAAAATATAATTTGTGTAAAATTTAATTGTAATTATTATTGCTACAGCAACAATTATGAATAAATCATCAGCTAAAAATACAAGTAGAATGAGAAGGGAATCATTTAAAATGATCAAATCTTCATCACCGATCATGTCATCATCTTTGTCAAGAGTTCAAAGTTCAGCAGCTATATCAAGTCGAGCAGTATGTTTTAATAATTCTTTTCATTACACTTATTTTCATCCAATTAATTAAACTAAATTAGATAATAATTTAGCATTTTTAAGCGATCTTATCTTATCTTATCAAATCTTATTGCAAGCATATATTTAGTGATTTTACAGTGATAAAAAAGTTAAATAATAAGTAATTATAATATTTAATTAATTAAATAACTTTTTTTTTAACGGATAATATTAATGTTATATCATTTATTTTCTTAATTTTGATGTCTAAATAAAGCGAAATTTCGGAGATGAACTATCATTATTATTGTTTATTATTATCATTATTATTACTTATTATTATCACTATTATTGTTTGTTATTATTATTACAGATAATATTAATGTTATGTCATATATTTTGTTAATTTTGATGTTAAAATAAAGGAAAATTTTAGATGAATCATTACTGTTGTTGCTATTATCATTACTGTATTTATTGTCGTTCTTAATATTATTACTATCGTTTTCATTATTATTACTGTAATTATTATTACTGTAATTTATTGTTGTTATTATTATTACTGTAATTATTATTGCTGTTGCTATTATCATTACTATAATTATTATTGTTGTCATAATTATTACTGTAATTATTATTGTTGTCATACTTATTAGTGTAATTATTATTGCTGTTGATATTATTATTGTTGTCATAATTATAATTATTATTATTGTTATTATTACAGTTGTTATTATTATTGTTACTATTAATACTATTATTTGTTACTATTAATTTATTATTATTGTTACTATTAATACTATTAATAATAATTATTATTATTGCCATAATTATTACTGTGATTATTATTGCTGTTGTTATCATTATTGCTGTCACAATTATCACTGTAATTATTACTGTTGTTATTATTATTGTTACTATTAATACTGTTATTATTACTTCTGTTCTTATTACTATTATCATTAATCACATGAATTTAACTTTTAGCAAAAGCAAACATTGAGAAATGATGAAAGTGATGATGCGATGGAACCGATGGAAAATTTAAGTTCAGTTGATGCAAATATAAATCAACAATTGAAAACACGTACTGATAGATATAAATCTTTCGGTACGCATTATCAGGAAGCAATTCGTGGACCACATGCTAGTTTCCGGCTTAGAATGCTTCAGGAACAACATATACAACCCGTAAAGACAATAATTTTTATTTTTTTCTTCTTCGCATTTTTTTTTTTTTTTTTTTTTGTTATTACTTTAAGGTATCATAAGTTTATGCAATTAATAAATTAAATTATAAAAAAACAAAAATGTTCGAATTATTTTTATTTAATAATATTAAAATATAAAATTTAATAAATTTTAATTTTAATGCAATTTATCTTATAGAGTTTTATACCAAAAAAAGTAAATCATACACGAGCAAAAGAATTAGAATACAAATATTTAAACAAATCTGAATTTGGAACATTTGCTAAACAAAATGGAAATGAAACATTTGATGGTAAGTTTGATATAATTTGCTAATCATGAATAAAAATTTTATTTCTTTTTTTTTATTTCTTAAATAATAAAATTAATTATTTATATTTTCTTCTTATTTACGCAAATATTAATAATACTTATATTTGTTGTTTATTATATATTTATTACTTTTATTTATGCAATATTAATAATACTTATATTTTGATAAATAATTATTATAAATGATATAATATATATATTGATCTTCTATAAACTTAAATATACACATATTAATAAATATGCAAAGATATTTATTTATCAATGATACCTGTGGTAATATGATACCTTTTGCATATCAAATTACTTTAATATAAGTTTTTCATAAATATTTGTAGTTTCATTTAGAATATACCTCGTAAATATCTATTTGATTTATGCTTAAAATATTTTAAATTTTATTTTTTCATCTTTTTGTTTCGTTTTTTTTTTTTACCTCTCTCTCTCCCTCTCTCTCTTTGTTTCACTTTTATAGATAAAAATTGTAAGGTTGAAAATTTAAATGAATAAAATAAAAGTATTGGAATAGAGGGAGAGAGAAAGAGAGAGAGAAGAAAAAAACAATTGTTTTGTTTACTAATTATTTAACAAATTAATATTCAAAATGTTCCTATTACTATTATTTAGTTATGTGTAAACAAAAACAAAAAAAAAAACGAATAGAAATATTAATTAACTTTAATAAATTAATTAATTAGTCCATTCATGAAAAAAACAACAACAACAATAATATTATAATTAAAATAGAAAATTAAATAAAATTCAAACAAATGATTTTTATTTCTGTCTTTTTCGTTTTTAATTTTTTTCTCTTTTTTTTTGATATTCCAAAATGAATTTTGATATTTCAATATTAAACATAAAATCAAATCATATTGTAATTTATCATTTTTTTTTTATTGAAAATTTTTATTTAAAGGAACAATTTCATTTCTATTTGATAAATGTAATATTTTCAATTTAATAATGATAAATAATCATTTTGTTACTTATGAATGATTGTGTTAAAAATGATTTAACATTAACTACTTTCTCTTAACTTTTAATTAAGATTTATTGTTCGATATTCTCATTTTAAAGTACTAAGTATTATTTATTAAAACTAATAAATTCTTTCATTTTATTTTCAGCAAATTTTTTTTTTCTTTTGCCCTTGAAATGTAATACAAACATTTAAAAATTTTCACATAGATGTTAAAATGAGAAAAAAAAAACCTTTTTTTTTTTACATTTATTTTAATATAATAAAAAAAATTTTTGTGTACTAATAAAATAATTAATTAGAAACGGATGTATGATTTATCAATCATTTTAAAAAAATAAAAATAAAAATAAAATGAAAAATGAAGTGAAAGAAATATTTTTTTTAAAATAAAATCATTTAAAGAGAAACAAAAAAAAAAATATTTGCAACTGTTTTAACAATAGCAAAAAAATATATTTTTTTCTCACTTTAATAATAAAATTTAAAAATGAAATGTTGAAATTGTTGCATTGATAATAAAATATTCGTTTCATTTTAATATTTATTATTAGAATTAATGGAAATAAATATTTATAAAATAATTAAATGATATAATAAAATTATAATTAACAAATTTTAATGTATTTATAAATAATTGAAAAAATTAATTAATCCATGAAAATTAAGAAATATTGCATTTAAACAGTAACAATAATAATAATAATAATAATAATAATAATAATAATAATAATAATAATAATAATAATAATAATAATAATAATAATGATAATAATAATAATAATAACAATAATAATAATAATAATAGTAATATTAATATTGAGCACAAAACTATTTCATATTGTTTATCTTTTAATAATTATTTTAATAGTTTATTTAATAGAAATTAATTAATGAATGATTAATTAGCTAAACAAAATAACTTAATTAATTAATTAATTAATGCAAATATCCTTTAACTCAATGAATAATAATAGAATTTCTTCTAGCATTTTTATTTTGCATTTTTAATAAATCTCAACTTGTCAATACAAATGATGAAGAATGGAAACTTTAATACATACATACATACTTATCTATGTATGTGTCTGTTTGTCTGTTTGTATGTATGTATGTGTCTGTTTGTCTGTTTGTATGTGTGTATGTGTATGTGTTGCATGTTTGTATGTGTATGCTAAAGATTAGTATGAAACGAAGCTTATTTATATATTAGAATATAAAAGAATAAGTGATTAATGAGTTTGCCTCCTTTTTGATTTGTCAATTCATCCGATTTTAGATTATTTATTTATTCGATTGGGCCAAAATGAATGTTTAACATATAAGGCCAAGTCAAGCCAAGTAGGACTAGTAGCCTAGTAGGTACTATTTGGTTTATTTATGCAAACGCACTTAACTTAGTCTCTTTTTTTTTTTTGCCCCTGCCTATAAACAATTCATGAAATTAAAATTGAAAAATAGAAAAAAAACAAAAAAAAAAATGGTTATTCCTTATTATCTAATCATTTGAACAAATTTTACCCATTGAGAAGGGCGGGTAAATAATAAGTGTTCCATGATGGATGGGTATTGTTTGATTTTATTATTTAATCCTTCTTTTTTTTCATTTTTATTTTTTATTCTTTTCATTTTTAAATTAAATAATATTTAAATTATTAATATGTTTAATTGCTTCTTATATATTTCTAACTTTTTTGTAATCCTTTACATTACAGTTAATTATTTTAAGTTTATTTAATTAGCATTTTTTAAAAATAATGAAATGATTTTAATGTTTTAAATTTTAATTTAAACTATGCAATTGTTAAATTTTTTTTTCCAAACGAAAAATTGAATTAATAATAGGAATTAAATAAAGAAAATAATTTATTTTTCTGTTATTTTACACATAGTTTATTGAAAAATATAAGCCAAAATTTTTATGAAAAAAATTTTTTTTCAATGTTTTTTTTAAGATTTGCTTTTTTGTTTAAAATTTAAAAATTATTTCAATTATAATTCATTGCCTTAAAATTTTTTCTTAGTTTTAATTAAAGAAAAAAACAATGAAAATTGCTAGAAAAATAATTTTTTTATTTCTAACTTTTTTCACTCACTCAATTTTTGATCAATTTAATTTAATTTTTATTGATTGTTTAATGTAAATTAATTTTTAAGTTTTTTTTATGTATAACTTTTTAAAATTACTTCTTTAATGGTTCGATAATATTAAAAAATAAAAATGAAAATATTATTTAGACAAAAAAAAAAGGGAAAAAATGATAAAATGAATAAACAATGATAATTTATATATGTATGTGATATGATTTATTGCTTCAATTTATTATTTTTCTGTTAATAATTAAACTAAAATTTATTATTTTTATTCTTTTGATATTTTTATTTTTAAATTTTTCACTTTAATACTTTATTAAAATTTTTAATTTAAAGCATACTATGTTTATTTAAATAAAATTTCAAAATTTTTTACGATATAAATATTTAAAATGATTTTTTATAACTTATTTAGAACACTGATATATGATTTATTGCTATAATATATTATTATGTTTATGTCGCAAAGGATATTGAAATTTAATTAAAATGTAATTTTGTTCCTTTTTAATTAAAATTTTTAATCTCTTACTTAATTAGCTATCCATTTCAAGATGTTAAAAGGAATGTAATGCAAAATTTTAATAAATAAATTAAGAATATTAAATAGGATTATTAAAAACTACAAATTCAATGAAATATTTAAGAGAATGCAATAGTTGTAATAAAATTAATTTTAATTTTTATTCTATCAAATAGCTAATTTTAAATTAATTCTGTTAAAAATGAAAATTATTGATGGAACTTCAAAAATATTATGGAATATTCTAACTTTTTGAAATCAAACAAATAGCATCAAAAAAAAAGAATTTTCAAAGTAAATGAAATTTTATTAATAAATAAAATTTTTTGATTACTTTTTTTTTTCATTTCTTGATTTTTTTGATCAAAAATTTCGGATAATTTTGTTAATTGCATAGCAATTTTTTTTTTACATTCAAATAACTGAAAATTTTGTAGGATTAATATAAAGAAAATTAGATGAAGAAAAAAAAATAAAAATATGAAAGTTAAAATATAAAAATTAAAATATGAAAAATTAGCTTAGTAAATGCTCACATTTTGATGAAATTAGCAAAAATGTAAAATATTTTATTTTTTTTTTCTTCTAAAATTGAATGCAATTTATAAAAGAAACATAAATGCTTCTTTCCTTTTTTTTTTTACAAAAATATTTTATTATTTATTAAAAAAATTTATTAAATAATTTCAAAATTATAACTTTTTGCTTACTGTAACAATTAGCATTGGTAAAGAAAAAGAAAAAACAAAAAATTGTTGCAAAAAATTTTACCGAAGAAATTTCTTTGTAAATTTATAATGAATTCAAATTGAACTTTATTTTTTCTTGTATGATTGAATGTTTGGTTTAATTATTAATTTTTATAAAAGGAAAAAATTAGGATGGAAATTAAATTTTTTAAAAATTTAAATTAAAAAGAATTTAGAATTATGCATGAAATGGAATTTAGTGGGAATTTAAAATGTGGCAACAATTTTGTTATATTATGTAAGAAATTTGCATGAAATTATTTTATTAATGAAATCAGAGTATTATATTTTTAATTTAATTTTTAATTTAATTTTTTTTTTATGCAAGTTTTGATTTAAACCACCGACATAAATAAATATGAAAATAATCGATGTAATCTTTCTGTTCCTTGTTTTTTTTTTAACTATGTAATTACTATTTTATTAATTAACTTAATTTTATTATTTATTTTTATTTTCATTCCTCTTTTTTACTGTTTTATTTCTTGTAATTACTAAAAAAGAAAAAAGATAATTTAACTTTAAATTTTTTATTTTTTTTTTTTTTCTTTTTTTTGCATCAAATAAAGTTTAAAGTATTAAAAGACATTTTTGTTTGGTTAATTTTATTTCGTATTTTTATGATTTTTTCATTTTTATTTTACTTTGCCAATAGCACCAATTTGTCATTTTCAAAAAGAAAAGAAACGAAAAGGAACGAAAAGAAAAGAAAAAACTTTAAAACAAAATTACTTTCTTCAATACTTTCTTTTTTTTTCTTGTAAATTTGGCATTTTTTTTTCTTTCACCTTTTTTCTCTTCTCTCTCTCTCTCTCTCTCCCTCTTTTTATCATTTTTTTTGTGTTTGTAACTTATTTTTTTAAAAAAAAAAAAATTTTAGAAAATGAAAAATTTTTTAAAAGTATAAAATTTATTTTTGTAATCAAATATTGTAAGCAGTAATAATTAAAAGTATAAAAAAATATTTTTTGTAATCAAATATTGTAAGCAGTAATAATTATTTTGCAACATATAAGTTATAGCCAATTCTATCAAGTAATATGGCCAAGACTATCAAGTATATGGCCAGGACTATCAAGTTATGGCCAATGCTATCAAGTAATATGGCCAGAACTATCAAGTTATGGCCAATGCTATCAAGTAATATGGCCAGAACTATCAAGTTATGGCCAATGCTATCAAGTAATATGGCCAGAACTATCAAGTTATGGCCAACGTTATCAAGTAATATGGCCAGAACTATGAAGTTATGGCCAACGCTATCAAGTAATATGGCCAAGACTATCAAGTTATGGCCAATGCTATCAAGTAATATGGCCAGAACTATGGCCAACGCTATCAAGTAATATGGCCAAGACTATCAAGTTATGGCCAATGCTATCAAGTAATATGGCCAGGACTATCAAGTTATGGCAATGCTATCAAGTAATATGGCCAGAACTATCAAGTTATGGCCAATGCTATCAAGTAATATGGCCAGGACTATCAAGTTATGGCCAATGCTATCAAGTAATATGGCCAGAACTATCAAGTTATGGCCAATGCTATCAAGTAGCAGCCTATGTTAAAATGATTTGCTTTATTCAATGCCAAAGAAATACTAGGCCATGGCTCATTTTCACACCAAATTTTAAAAATGTCAATGTGATGAATTCATTGAATTGAACTAGTCAAGCAAAACTCAAATATAATTTTCCTCTTTTCATGCTCAAAAATTCATTTCAAACACTATCGTTTCTTTTTTCTCTCCTTTAATTTGAAATTAATAAATGAAATAATTAAAATAACAATTAAAATTATAATTTAGGAATTTAAATCTTTCAATTTCTTCTTATATCAATGCTTATATTAGTAGATTAATAGATTTGTTATTTCTTTTGAAATTCAAATCAATTAGCAAACTTCAATGTATTTCAATTTCATATTTCAATTTAATTAATTCGATTTCTGTATAATTTATGTATTTTAGTATTTATATAAGTTTCAACTGTTTTTTTTTAATTTATTTCATTCTGAAAAATTATTATTGCCCATATTAAATTTGAAAACTTTTTGTGCTAATTTTTTTCATATTCTAATTCAAAAACTTTTTGTACTTTTTTTTAAAATTACATTTTCAGCTTTGAGAAGAAAAAAATTTTTATATTATTCTATAAATAATTATTAATGACAGAATTTGTCAAAATAAATTTTAAAAAAAAAGACAATTAAATTTGAGAGAAATGATTATCCGAAAATTGAAAATGGCAACGATTAATTTTAAATATTTAATAAAATCTATGAAATATTTGCATAATTGATTTAATTCATTTAGATTTCTCTAAATTGTATTTACAAAAAAACAAAAAAAGAAAAGGAAAATAGTATCTTTTACAATTGAAATTTTAACTGATTTTTTTTTTTGAATTATAGTCAAAAAAGTAAAAAATTAAAATATTTGATAAATTTTGAGTTATGTTAGGTAAGTTTAAATTTTTGAATTGTGTTAGATAAGTTTAAAATTAAATGCGAAATTAAAATATTTCAAATATTTTATTTTTTGTTTATTTTTTGTCATTCTCTCTCTGTCTTTTAAACTTTATATTTTTTTGACATTTTCGTCAATTTTTTTTTTCGTTCTTTCTTTTCTTTTTTTTTCATTTTTGTTTTTTCTCTCTAATTTTGATTCGATCTCTAACTCAGTAAATAATCTTTTTTTGGTTATTTTTGCTTACAAATAAAAGATTTAAAAATTTCACATTTCATTGCTTCAACTCTTTGTCATTTTTCAATTTTTACTTTATTTGAATAAGTATTTTAACAATTTGAAAATAATTTTACAATTCATTTTTGTTTGTTTGTTTGTTTACAATTTGTTGAAATAATTTTAAATCGTTACGCGACTAAATTATTGCAATAATTTACTTGCACTGAATTTATAAAACATTTCTGTATGTACCTGAAGGATCAGAAATCCTGAATGGTTGATACTTTCCGGTTATTACATTCAGAAGAAATTCATACAATGCCTGATAACAACTGGCATCATCGTCCATATCAACGTCATCATATTGATCAAATGATGCGTAGTAATCGAAATTATAAAAAACCATTTAATTTGGTACCAGGTAAGTTTCCGTTTTATTTTTCCTTCTTTCATCTCATTCATTTTGATTATTTCCTTATGCAAATGCTGAATTATCCGGAAAATAATTCAGGAATTGAAATTATCTCTCATTTTTTCTTTTCTCAAATTATTTTTAAGTAAGTAATTGAGACAAATTACATTTACTTATTATGCATACTCAATTTAAATCATTCATTATTTAAGTTTCTTTCTTTCTTTCTTTCAACTTGAAACGAACTCATTTTTCTTTTGCATTGTTAAATTGAATTTGAAATTTTTTCCTTTTTTCATAATTGCAACAATTTAAGTAATTTTAAGATATGAATCATTGATTATAATAAGTAAATTTCACTTCGATTATAGCATATCAGAATTGAAAAATATTTTAACAATAATTTTTTTTTTTGCATCTTTCAATTTTTAATTTAAAAACACAAATTGAAAAATTAAATGATAATACATTATTATTATTAATATTTTGTTAAGATAAATTAATATTATCATTTATCATTGATAACATTTAATAATTGAATTGGACTTTTATTATTAGCTATTAAAAAGTAAAAAATATTTTGATGGAAAGTTTTTGTTTTTCTTAATTTTTCCTTCTTTGAAATAAAATATTTATATATTTATAAAAAATAAATGTTAATATATTGTTGCAAAAATGGAAAAATAAACATAATATTTTTTTAATTTAAAATTTAAAACTTTTTATTTTTTTTTAAAATCTCAATAGATTTTTTTTTTTAAAAAAACTATGAAACGAAAAGTTTTAAAATGTAAATCAAAATAATTTGAACATATCAAAAAAAAGAAAAAAAGTAGAAAAAGGAGTCAATACGGTAGTTTTAAGTATTAAAAAGCTTTAACAAATTGATATGCATTAATGCCTAAGGCACTGTTTCATCAATAAAAAAAAAAAAACTTGCAAAGCCTTTTTATTATACTTATTAAGTAACATTTTAAAGTAAGTAAAATATTTTTATGGTTTTGATTTCTCGAAAGTTTTTTTTTTTTTTTTTTTTTGGAAATTCATTCACTGAAAATTCATTCCAAAACGATCAGTGCAATAAAAAAAAAAAAGTGTAATATTTGTAATATTTTGAAAAATATAATTTCATCTATTATTTATAAATTAATTTTATTAAAAATAATTCGCATTTTTCTTTTCAAAAGTAAGTATGAAAAATTTGCAAAAGATAACAAAAATTTTAAATTATGACGTAAGCATAATTTTAAGCTTAAATTAATTCTGAAAAAAATGAGCGCAATAAAAATTTTAGTTTTTTCACATTTCAAAATTTAATATTTATGACATTTTGAAATTTTTTTTTGATCATTTTTTTAAAAAAAAAATTTTTTTTTTAAAATACAATTTTATAATTGTTAATTGATTTTATTGATTTTTTTTATTTATTAATTTTTAAATAATTTTGTTATAATTAAAAAGTTTTGCTATCTTTTAGATAATTAAATGTATTTTTAAATTTAAATTAGGACGTAATTTAAGTTTAAGCTTAAGTTTATTCAAAAAAAAAAAATGAACGCAATAAAAATTTTAATTTTTTCACATTGTAATATTTTGAAAAATATAATTTTATCATTTTTTAAATTGACTTTATTAATTTCTTTCTTTGTTTACTTTTAAATAATTTTGTTATAATTAAAAATTTTTGCTATCTTTTTTTAGATAATTAAATGTTTTCTTAAATCATTTTTGCATTATTTCAAAAAGAAAAAAAAAGTATCAAAAAAAAAAAATAAAGAAAAGATTAGAAAGTGTAGGAAAAAAAAAATAATAATAATAATAATTTTGTTAACTTCTTGCTTTTTACTTTTGAGGCATTTATTTAAATGGAAATTTTAATGTCACAGCTTAAAAACTTCCTTTGCCTTTTTTTTTTTTTTTCAATAAGCCTTTTGGAAATTTTATACAAATACTTTTTTTCCTATTTCAAACAAATTTTTTTTTCCAGTCGTTAATTTATAAACATTATTTATTATATCATATGGTAATTTTAAAAATTTAAAGGCAATTTTTTAAAAAAATATATATAATATTAATTTTTAGTAATATTTTATTTTTGCATATAAAAGAATTCAAATATTTAAGTATAAATGAAAATAAACAGAAAATGAAAAAAATAGAAAAATAATTCAAATGAATTTTTTAATTGTCCTTAAAATGTGACATTTATCAAAGAGACTTTAAGAGTTATTGTCACCTAAATATGTTTATTAATTGATATTTTATTGGTTTTATCATTGATTATCAAATTACTTTGTGTTTACTACTTTAAAATTGATAATCAAACAATTTTGTTAATATTTTTTAATACGAAATTCTCATATAATTCACATTGCTGTACTAATATTATTTGAGGTAAAAAAGAAAACAAAAAAAACTTTTAAAATGTTCAAATTTTATATTAATTAATCATTAATTAATCAAAACTGAAATTAATATATAAAAAAAAAACAAATTTGAATATATTAATAATGGATGCAATATTAGTAAAACAAACATGTAATTATTTACTGAAGAAAAATTAATTTTTACTAAAACAAATTTTTTTTTTTTTTTTGAAATTTTATATTTTACATGAAATTTTGATAGAATATTTAAAATATATATAGAAATAGAAAAATAATAATAATAAAAATAAATAGAAATTTCATTTGAAAAAAAAAAAAAAAGGAACGAAATATATTTCTAATTTATTCTCAATTTTCTTTTTTTATAAAACATTCAAATTTAGTTTACATTTTCTTCGTCGATTTTAAAGTAATTAAATCAATGAATAGCACTATGCAATATATAATATTTCATATTACAAATTTAATAAACAAATTTCTGTTCAATTATTTCAATTGCTCAGCTAATAAGCATTTTTAAATTTTATTTATATCGCAAAAAAAAAAAAAAAATTTCAGTATCAGTTTTAAATTTTTCTAATTTAGTAGAAAAATGCTTTTACTTATTTTTCTTTGCACATAAATTTGTTATATGTTAAATTTACAAATTATTATTGTTCTTACTTATTCTATCAATAATAGGTAAATTTTACCTAAAAGTAAATTAAAATTTTACCTGAAAATTTTTTGTGTGAAAAAGTGTGAGTAATAGAAAAAAGTAAAGCCTAAAATATCGGTGATATATGCCGGGTGACAAATTTAGTGTCATCTTAAGTCCTCAATTCTTCTTTTCCAGTATATGAAATAATTTTTAATTTTTAAAAAAGTGAAAGTAAATATTTTGAATTAATAAAAATTAAAGAGCAAAAAGAAAAAACTAATTTATACTTTTGACTAATATATGTTTTTCCAATATTTTACTGAAAATAAAATGAAAAAAAAATGAGAAAAAAAAAAAACATAAATTACAATTTACAATTTCATATGCTTCCACTTTAGGGGCCATTCACTCTTCTTTTCTTTTCAAAATATTTATCAATCATTTTTGATTATAATTTATCTTTTCAAAATAACTTCAAAAAAGGAAAGTGCCAAAATAAAATTAATTTAAATAAAAATTTTGTAATTTTTACTCTTTGTTTTTTCTTTTTAATTAAAATTTTTTATAAATGTAAATAAAATTTTTTTTTGAAGTAAAAATTTTTGATAAATTTCAAATTTAATCAAAGTTTTCTTTTTTTTTATTTATGAAATAAATTTTTAATTAATTCATCACAAAAGAATTTAAAAACCACTTCTTTTCCATAAGATTAAAATGTGATGAAAGTGAGAAAGAGGTGGAGAAAAGCTGTTAGAATGTTTATGAAAATATGGAAATTATAAAATGGATTTATGTATCACTGAATATTTCTATTTTTCTTTTCATTTCTTTTTTTTTTTTCATTTTTTTTTTATGAAATTTTATAAATGATCGATTAATTATCGTTTTGTTAAAATTTAAACTCAAATGTAATTAATTATATTTGAGTTTAATTAATTGCATCATCTTTTTTCTATTATTTTAATAAAAATTTTATAAATAAAACTTTTTTTTTCATTCTTTTTATGAAATTTTATAAATGACGGATTAATTATCGTTTTGTTAAAATTTAAACTTAAATTTAATTAATTATATTTAAATTTAATTAATTGCATCATCTTTTTTTTTAAAAAAATTTTGTAAATAAAACTTTTTTTTTCATTCTTTTTATGCAATTTTATAAATGATCGATTAATTATCGTTTTGTTAAAATTTAAACTCAAATTTAATTAATTATATTTAAGTTTAATTAATTGCATCATCTTTTTTTTCTATTATTTTAACAAAAATTTTATAAATAAAACTTTTTTTTTCATGCTTTTTATGAAACTTTATAAATGATCGATTAATTATCGTTTTGTTAAAATTTAAGCTCAAATTTAATTAATTATATTTAAGCTCAAATTTAATTAATTATATTTAAGCTCAAATTTAATTAATTATATTTAAGTTTAATTAATTGCATCATCTTTTTTTTTAAAAAATTTTATAAATAAAACTTTTTTTTTTCATTCTTTTTTTAGGAACCATCCATATATAATACATACATATGCAATTGTCCGTTAAATTTTTCTTATCTCATTATTTCAAATGTGAATTGGGCGGAAAAGTGCTAAATACCTTTCTTTTCACTTTTTTCTTCTTACACTTTACCAACAGCGCCTGTACACCTTCAATTCTCAGTAGATTTGCTAAAATTTCAACAATTTACTTTGTATTTTATTATTGTTATTGTTATCTTATCTTATTCATCTAACTATTTCTATCATTTTCAAAAAAAAATTTTTTTTTTTTCATTTTTTCATTTTTTCATTTTTTTTTTGAATCCCTTTGGTATTGTCATATTTAAATGTGCTTCAAACCAATGTTACGATGACAACTATCCCTAAAAGTTTTTTTTTTTCCCCTCTCTTTTCCCTTTTAACTACTCAACTGTTAGATTTGAAAAAAAAATTTTTTTTTTCAAATTTCAAATTTAGATATTTTATTTTAATTTATTTATTATTATTGATGAAATTTCCACAAAAAAATTTTCACAAAAATTACACAAACTAAATAGTCAATTAATTCTTGAAATATTGGATGAAAGTTTTGGATGAATTTTTTTTTTTTTTTTTGTTAACTTAAACAAATGATCGAATTCATTTTGATGATTATCAATGATTTGTTTTATGTGTTAAACCATTTTCACTTTTTTTTCTTTTTAAAAGCATTTATAGTTTCGTTTAAATTCGTTGTTAAAATTTGAAAAAAGAAAAGCAAAATGGATTATTTGTTTATTATTTCTTATTTTATTTGGTATAATTATTTTAAATAATTCCAAGCAAAATTTGAAAAAAAAATACGAAAACTGATAATGGAATGATATTTTGATTACTTTTACTGATAAAATCCTTTTTTATGGTCTTATTAATCTATAAAATGATAAATAATTTTAAAAAATAAACTATATTTTGACAATTTCTATTCATGAATCTTTTTAACTTTAACTTATTTTAAGTTAGATTAAATGATAATTACCTTAAAAAAATAATACTATATTTTTGATAACATCTATTCATGAATGTTTTTAACTTTAACTTAATTTTAAGTTAGGTTAAATGATAATTACCTTGAAAAAAAATAATAGTATATTTTGATAACATCTATTCATGAATGTTTTTAACTTTAACTTATTTTAAGTTAGATTAAATGATAATTACTTTAAAAAAATAATACTATATTTTTGATAACATCTATTCATGAATGTTTTTAACTTTAACTTAATTTTAAGTTAGGTTAAATGATAATTACTTTAAAAAAATAATACTATATTTTTGATAACATCTATTCATGAATGTTTTTAACTTTAACTTATTTTAAGTTAGATTAAATGAGAATTAGTTTACTAGTAAAAGTGATCGACATTTGCTATTAATTAGTTCATAAAAATTAATATTTATTGTTATTGTCAGAAGAGATATACCTTTTTGCTCATTACTTTTTACTCTAATTCACAAATAACAATTAAACTGTAAGCAATTTAAATAATTTAATAAATTTAGCAATATTATAATAATTTTTCAAAATTTTTTCGTATCAAAATTATCACATTTCAATGATAATAAAGCTTTCAATTTTAGTATAAAGCAAAAATTTTCAAATTTTTGTATTAAAATTTCAAATTTCATAAATTAAAAGATTAAAAAAAAAAGATAAAAATGCTAAAATAATATTTTTCAACTTTATATTTCGTTCATATATCACAGTTCAAATACTCTTTTGAATATTTATTTTTTCTTTTCTTTCGTTTTTTTTTTGTTTTCTTGGAAAAGTAAAATTAACGATGCTTATAACAATTTTTGTCTTAAAGAATATTTTGCTAAATTATTTTAAAAAAAATTTTTTTCCTCATTAAATCAAACTCTTTCATTACATTACTTTCTTTTTTTTTTGGTTAATGAGAATTTTTTAAAATTCAAATTTTTTTTTCTTTTTTTAATGAAATATTTTAGCTATAAAAATTAAAATTTGTTTTATCCAATGAAACAGTTCTGTTTTAACTTCATTTTTATTTCTTTTCCATAAAAATTTGTGCTTAGAAATAATTAATTGCACTAATTAGAAGCAAATTAATTTTTTTTGATGGATTGTTCAAGAAGTTAATTCGATTTAATTTTATTTGCATAAATAATTTGTTCAGTTATTGAAGAAATTTTGATAATTGAATTGAATATTTTATTAAATTTCATTATGATTTTAATAAATTTTCCATAATTTTGGAATATATTCTGTTTAGCTAGCAATTATCCCTTTTTATTTTAAAAAAAAAAAGAAAAAAAATTCCATAATCAAAGTTATAAATTTATTTATCATTCAATTAAACATAGTAAATTTCATTCCAAATCATTCAGTCTCATTTAGAAATTTGTTTGTAAAATTAAAATTGAAATTAGATTTATGAATTATTTCAATTTTTTTTTATAGTAAATTCATCTCACTTATTTTTTCTTTTTGAATTTATATAATTAGCATAAAAAAAAAAAGTTAGCAAAAAATTTAGTTCACAACTTTTTTAAGATTAAATTTCGTTTTTTCCTTTTTTTTTCTAAAATATATAAATGATAGATAGTAAGCATCAAATATCATAAAATTATTGTTAATTACATCACTAATTAGTAATTAATCGATGATGAATAAAGTAGGAAGAAAGGAAAAAAAAAAGTGAAAAATTATTTTTACAAAGTTATTTAGCAGCAAAATTTTCATTCTATTTTTTTTTAAATTTTTCAATTTTTTTTTTTTTTTTTGAAATTTATAACTTGTAGTTTCAACATGTGATGGAGCCTTTTGGATCACAATTGTTCGTTCGTATACTATTTTCACAAATATTATCATTATTATGGTTGTTAATAGTCCTGAAATACACATTGAACCATTTCGATTTTTTCCAACACCAAAAAATCAAAAAAGTAAGTTAATCGGAAGGATAAATTAATGAAATTTTAATTGAAATATCCAAAAAAAAAAATGAATGAATGAATGAATGATTGATATTTCCGATTATCAATTAAAGTTTTACTCATTAATTCATTTCCAATATTATATTATAAAAATTTGTAATTTTAGGAAAAAAATAATATGGGTAAAAGTAAATTATAAAAAAAAAAAACAATATTTTCATAAAAAAGATAATAATCATTCTTAAGTATAAATCAAAATTTATTAGTAAACAATTTTTTTTAAAAAAACTGAAAACTGAAAAAATTGAAATAATAATAGGAAATATTAAATTGACTAAAAAGCAATTAGTTAATTTTTTTTTTTTGTGCATTTTTCGATATGAAAGCTTAAGGTAATATGGTTTTTGCGCATTTGTCAGCTGGAGTATTTGAACGTTGGTATCGTCGATATGAATTATTACCGAGTAAGTTTTTTCATCTAAATTTTACCACAAATAAAAAATGAAAAATTAACTTTAGCAAATTTTAATTACAAAAAAAAAAAAAGAAATTAATGAATTTTCTAACTTAAGAAAACAAACAATTTTAGTTTGTAAAAAATTTAAAAAAATTTTAATTATTATTTAAATTAAAAAAAAAAATTTAGACATAATTAAAATTACAAAAATTAACACTAGCAACGTTTAAGAAATACTTATTATTATCTTCTTTTGTTTTCTAAAAAAAAAAAGATTAAATGATAACAACTGATAACTGTATGAGAAATACTTTATCATAGAAAAATTTGTACTAAAATAACTTATCCAAAATTTCGAGGTAATATAAATAGTAGTCGTTTGTGATTATTATTTCATTCTCCCTACTGAATTCTAATGTCAAAATGATGTTTGTTGATGAATGCTATTGCAATATCACTGATTACTATATGATTGACATTTTTCATTATTTTTTTTTTCCTTCTCATTTCTCTGAAAAATTTAAAATTCAAATTTTTAGCACTGATACAATTTGTATTTGATAATAATACTTCTTGAAAAAGTAAAATATTCATTCGGTACAGTGAAATATTTTTACTTGAAAAATGATTTAAATTAAAATTGATCGAATTATTTAATACATTTTATAAATTTTATTGATTAAATTTATTAATGCACTCAACGATAGTTGCAGAAATATTAAGTTAGAATATTTTAATAAATATGAGAATTGAAATTTTAAATGAATAGATTTTAAATAATTTGAATTTTTTTTTTGAACCTTAAAAATTAATTTGTAAAATAAAAATTTGATCATTTGATTTTTTTCCAATTTTTTTCATTTCAAATCTTATATTCTTAATTTTAATTTTAATTGTATTAAACAAAATTCATAAACACATAAACAATAATAAATTTTCAATTATTCTCAATGTATTTTTACTTTCTAAAAATTAATTTATTATTTTATTACTTTCAAATATTTATGAATTAATGCTGTGATTGCAATGCAATAATACTTAAAGTGTATAATAATTATATAAATGTGATAATTTCATTTAGATTTCATTTGCTTTCAAATTGATTTAATTACACTCAACGCACCATTAAAATTCATTTCAATGCTTTTCTAATTGAATAACTAATCAAAATATTCATTACCATACTTTGTTATATTCATTTTTCCGATTATACAATTTCCGTTTTTCCGAAACATTTCTATTTTAAATTGTCAATGTTATCACCACTGTAGTAATAAGAGCAGTGATAACTGATAATAAATGATAATAATGAATGAATGGTTTTTACCTGTTCAAAAATGATTACTCAAAAATGTAAATAACATTTCAAATTATAGCACTATTGAGAATAATTAATAATAATAGCAGTAGTGATAATAACAATGATAATAAAATTACTTCTTAACAACAATGATAATAACAATAATCAACAATAAATGATAATAATAACAATGAATAGTTTTATCTAATTTTTGCTTATTCAGAAATGTATAAATATTGTTGAATTATTAAATGCATAAATATTTCTTAAACTAACAAATATTCGCTATCTTATTTCTATAAAATGAAGAAAAGAAGAATTATTAATTAAATTATATGATAAATTTATTTATTTCTTTTTCAAAACAAACAAACAAACAAACAAAAAAAAAAACAAAAGATTGAAGGCATTTCTTCCCTTTTTTTTTTTTAAATTTACTAGTAGTAAAATATTTGAAATGATTAAAGCATAGTAAAAGTAATTTCAATTTTACTAAGCCATCCTATTAGTTTGTGTTATTGACCAAAAGCCAATAATTCAATGATTATTCGGCGACTTCATTTTGCATCAAAATAGCTTTTATGCCAATATAATACTTTCTTGCCTGGTTCCATCCTTTTCTTACTTTTTTCTTTTTTTCTTTTTTATTGATTTCTTTGTTTTCATTTCTCTCAGATTCCACTTTCATCCATTTTTACATTTTTTTTTTTTTAAACAATGTGAAAAATTTTTTTTTTTCTTTGCTAACAAATCTTATCGTTAATCTTTCTCTCAAAGCTTTTTGAAATTGATTATTTTTACTCAATTTAGTGTGAGAATTTAAGTTTTATTAATGCATAACAACAAGTGCATTTGAGAAATTTTTAAAAGTTAGTAAGAAAGTAAAAAGTAAGTGTTTATTATATTGATGATAGTATGATTAATGAGATTTGTTAGGGAAAAAAATGGGTATGATTAGTGATATATGAATGTGATTATTTGATAATAAAAATAATACATTCAATAATTTGAAATTTTTTTTTTTTTGCATGTTTTTTTTAAATTAAATTCTTTTTTAACACTTCAAATATTTAATTAATTAATTTTATCGAAATGTAAACATTATTTACAGCTAGCTATAGATGGATTAAATTAACATATCAAATAAATTGATAAATAAAATATTGAATTTTTTATCGATAAAATAAATCAATAAATTTTTTTTTTTTAATACTATATTGAATTTTGAAAAATATTTGAATTTTTTTTTATACTATTAAATTATTTATATAATTCACTGTAGTGCAAGAAATGAAATAGCACAAAAATATTTGATTGCATTAATTTATCTAAATTTTGATATGTCTTTCTAATAGGTTAAGCATCCTCTTAAAGTAAATAATTTAGAATGTTTACTGCTTATGAGAATTAAATTACAAAGGGATCAGAAATTTGAGAAAAGCTTATTCTATCCATTTGTTAGCATTTATAAAAAAAAAAAAAAAAAAAATTTTTTTTTCTTTTTTCGCCTATTATTGAAGTTTTTGAATGCTTAAATAATGATAAAATTTATGCATTTGAAAGATTATAAATTTAAAATTTTTTTTTTTTTGCAATATTTCCTTTTAAACTCTGAAATAGACATACATTTGAAGTGAATAAATGATCAAATTAGAATTTAAAATTGAATTTTTCCATGGATAATTTGAACTATTGTTACAAAAATAAAAAAGTAAAAAGGACAAAGATAAGAATTTGAATTAAAATTTTAGTTCGTCTTTATTCTTCTTTTTTCAGCACATATAAAAATTGTGACATCAATGCAACAAACGAAATTATTAACTTTTATTTATGATTGAAATAATAACAATGAATAAAATTAATGCATTGAAATAAATTAAAATTTAATTTTATCATTTGATGAAATCATTGTGATAAGACGGATAAATGTAAATATTTGTTGTGATGTTAAATTTTAGTACAAATTTGCTAGAATTTAGCTTTTTTAGAATTAAGTTTTTTTCTTATTTTTTTTTTCAGGAATATTTTTATGAAATGCTACTAGTACTACTATTTGTTACATTTTACTGATTTCTTTTTCCGTTTTTTTCTTTCTCTTTTTTGTTGACGATTAAAATAAACCATATTAAATGAGAAATATATACTATCTTTTGGGAGAAATACTCAAAGGAAATAATGAAGTGGAAAAGAAATAGCTAAAAGTTTGAAAAAAGAAACCGAAGAAAAAAAAGAAAAAAGACCAAATAATTTTAACTGGTTTTTGGCAAAAATTTTTTTGAAATTATATAATGCAAGAATTTAAAAAAAAAAAAGAGAAAAGCATAAAAATTTTATGAATGAAAATTAGTGAAATAATAAAATGTTTATCATCGTTGGACATTGATTAACTTTTTGAGAAAAGTAAACAAACTATGCATGAAAATTAATCATTAATTGTTGACAAAATGTTACAGCAACAGAAGCAGTTTTAAGTACAAGAAAAGGACGAAAGGCGGAAAATAAATATATCTAAGGCGGAAAAAGTCAAAAAAAAAAAAAGGAAAGGAAAAGGAAAAAAAAAAAAAAGGAAACACTTCATATCGCTTTAATGAACTAAAAAAGCGCTTAAAGTTTTCCAAAAAAAAAAAAAAAAAAAGAAAAAAAGGCTAACGCGAAGAGACAAAATTTTAATGCTACCATTTATCGGATCTATCACAAGCAATTGCTGTTCCATATTAACTCAACGAGAAAAATTTCAAGAAGATTTGGAGGGTGGTGGAATATTGACGATTGTTGGTTTAACAATGCCAAACAAAAGACAAATGTCAAAAGCGCCCAATGATAATGATCATTTGCGCTCATTCGTTGTTGATGATTGTGATGATGATGATGATGATGGCATTAATAACATTGATAGTAATATCACCCAATCAACTGACGATAACATTCAAAAAATTTTAACACGAAGTACGGAATCATTATATCCGTTCGGTACCGGAAATCAACAATCAACAACAATGCGACGTCTGTCGCATAATCTTAACAACGAACGACGTCGATCTTTGCTATGGATACGACCAACGACAGAAGAAATAATAGCCAGAGCAAGTCATCGTATCACAGAAGAATCGAAATTATATCATCGTGAACAATTTAATTCTACTAGAGGTCTGTCTGTCTCTAATTAATCTATCAAATTTTGTCAACGACAAATTTTTTGTCATCTTTTTTTCTCTATTTTTAATTAACTTAATCATTATATTTCTTAGCTCTCAGTCTAATAAGATCTTAAGATGATTCATTCTTTTTAAAATTTAATATCTTTCACTAATTATTCCAACTCATTTTGGTTAGTTTAATTCAATTTCAATCTCTATGCTTGCTGCTATTTCTATTCCTTTTCTCATCGTTTTTTTTTTCTCTTTTAACAGTGAAAAATAAAATCAATGCAATGAATGCAATGCTTAAAATTTTCTCTTATTTCATTAGCTAAAGGAAAACAATTTTACGATGTTAGCAAAATCGATAACAATTAAATTTTATTAAATAAAATTTATCAAAAGAAAATAAATCAGTTTCATCGTCTTTACAATTTTTTTTTTTTGCATTACAAATCCATTTCTTTTTCTTCTTTTTTTTTCTAGATTTCTCAAATTTACATATTAGTTAATGTTCAGATAAACATTTTAGAAAATATAATATTTGCAAATTAAAGTTTTTTTTTTTTTCTCCTAGTCATAAACAAATTTTACTATAAAATTTATATTTACTATGTTATTGTCAAGTTGTGTAATTTTGAATTTTTTTATTCCAGTAAATAATATCAACATCTATGAAATTAGATATGGTATTAATTATTTGATACAAAAGTAATTTTATACAAATTATTAAAAATTTATAAATTTTTGTCACAAAAGTTCAAATAACAATTTTTGAATTAAATGTAAATTTTATAAAATATATGAATTTTAATTACCAATTGTAATTTTATCATCGATGATGTTACAAGTGTTATTTTCATTGATAAACACAAGAGATTAGTTAATTGTTAGATAGATTAATTAATTAATTAATTAATTAATATGAATTTTTATAAGATAAAATATATTAGAAATAATTGAATTAACAATGTTTGATTACTTTGTAATTATTAGTTTTTCTTTTTCTTACTTTCATTGATTTTTAGTTATTTCATATGCTTACATAAATCATTGTTTGACAATATAGCTTTCAACAAAATTTTCCCTTTTTCATTAGCATATGAAAGCATTTCACTTTTTTTTCTTTCCTTTTTGCTATTCTTTAAATTTTAATTATTTTGAATTCATAAATTTTTCCTTTCATTCTTATGTTTTTCTTTTTTTTTTCCTTTTCTTTTTTGTTACTATGAAAAGGATAATTTTATATAAATGATAGAAAATGCTATGAAATTAATTTAAAAAAAAAAAAGAAAGAAGAGAATTAGTAAATAATAGCATGTTTTAATAAATAATATCATAAACAAATATTATAAACAAACAAATAAATAATATTATAAATATTTTTTTTTTTTTTGAAAAGAGAATGAAGAGTGGTAGTAAGTATCATTATTAATAACAAACAAAAAAAAAAAAAATTAATTAACTTTAGCCATGCACCTAGCCTACCTTATAATTACTTTATACTTACTCTAACTTTACTTCTTAAACGATGATAACAATATTATAATAAAGATATTTACAATTATATTTCTATGAATAATATATAACGTATAACAACAATAACAGTAATAATCGTGTAATTTCTTATAATTATAGTTGTAATGAGAGGAAAATGAATAATGAAAAGACCTTTCAGTTATTTATTATATAATAATTATTCTTTTTTAATTAATATACATATTTTTAAACTTTAATTAAAATTTTACAAATAAGAAAATTCATCTTTTTTCTTAAAAAAAACGATTTCAAAATTCGAAAATATAAAATGGAATGCATTTAAAAAAAAAAAAATGGTTAAATGCCATGTTTTGAAAGATGATATTAGCTATTCTTGGAGAGAAATGTAAAAATGATAGCAATAATGCATGCTATAATGGTACTTACTGCATGCTATAGTTATATGTTTTTGAAGATTGAATTAAAAATTGAATTGAAAATTGTGAATGTTTAAAAATTTTCCAATATTATAATGAAAAAAAAAAATGTGAGACAAATACTAAGACAATATGAAAATATATGAACCATTTATAAAAGATAATATTTCTTTTTTACTTTATTTTTTTTTGTTTCATTTTTTTTCTTTAAAAATCTTTAAATCATTCAGGCGGCATTGTGACATCTTTTCTTAGCTTCATCTCTTTTATTCCTCCTTCTTTTAAATAGCGTAAAAATTTAAGACTTTTTTTTTTTTTTGCTTAAGCGGATGTAAAATAAACTTTCTTTCATGCATTTTAAATAAATGCAACCATCTCTATGCTAACTTTCTAATATTTTAAAACTACTTGCTGCTCATTTTTATACATTTATACCTATATTTTGAATCATTTTAGTTTGATCAATTTGTATTTTACAATTTGCAAATTTTAATAATTATTAGTTTTTATTTTTTTATTAAAGATTAATCGTGAAAATGACTTTTCCTTAATTTGAATAATTTAAGAAAAGTTTTTGAATAGTTTCTTTCGTTAGTAACATATCCATATTAATTTTTTCTCATTGAATATTTGTCAACAATGTAAACATCTAAACATGAATTCATATTATCATCATCATCGATGAATCCTACCAATAGTCATTTCATTGATGAGAGAAGTCAATCATTTACTTCACTCAATATCAAAGATGATCTTCCATTAAGTGATGATAGTAGTGATGTTATGGAAAGAGTTGATAATCTGATCGAACAGGTATAACATAAATTAGTTTATAGAATTTATTTCCTATCATTAAATAAATCTTTTTTTCAGATATGTGAAACTTTTTTTTTTTTTTTTGAAATAATACTATAATTTTAATGAAATGATAATGATAATAGTGATCTCTATTTTACTTTATTTTCTCTCGTATTTCCTTCTTTAGTTACCAAAAAATCCATCAATTCTCGCGAAAAAGAATCGAATGTCTACTGTAAATGGTTTGAACTATGATCAATCATATACAAATGTAGTAAAATTTGACACAAATGTGAAACAACAAGCTGAAATTGATGCAAAATGCAATCGTAAGCTAATATTAGAATCTTTCAATCATTTCATACATTTAATACAATCACAGTTATAAAAAAATTTTTTCGTCGAGAATTATTGTTGTTTCAAAAATCAATCAATATTGCTATTCTTTAGCATTGTTTGAAAGAAAATCAATCAATATTGCTATTCTTTAGCATTGTTTGAAAGAAAATCAATCAATATTGCTATTCTTTAGCATTGTTTGAAACAAAATCAATCAATATTGCTATTCTTTAACGTTGCTTGAAACAAAATCAATCAATATTGCTATTCTTTAGCATTGTTTGAAAGAAAATCAATCAATATTGCTATCCTTTAATGTTTCATCTTATTTGAGAAATCAAGTTAGAAATTTTTCTAAAATTTGGACTGTAAGTTACTTTTGCAGAAATTCTCAAATGCTCATAAAATTTGTTAGGCTTTTTTCAAGCATATAATTTTATATGCATGAAATAATCTTTAATAACTGAATAATTTCAGTAATGAATTCTTATTGTTCAATATTTCTCTTAAATTGCAGTTTTACCTTCCCATACCTAATTTTTTTTTTTTTTTATGGAACAAGTAAGAATAAAGTTGGTTTTTTTCATTTTGAGTATGAAATTTTTGCTATACAAAATCATTCTTAATTACAATTTATTTACTAATTGTTAATGCAAATGCCAAAAATAAATATTGATAAAACTGCGCCCATTATCAGTTTATCAGTTAGGAAACAAAATTGCAGCATTTGTCAGATGGAATTAATAGGAAAATATTTTTCATTAAAATATTATTAAATTGTGGAAAAGTCAATTATAATATACTATTAACAGTGATTTTATTTAAATTATATTAATTTTTGTTTGTAATACATTTTTAACGGCGATTAAGAGAATTGACAATAAATCAGTAATAAAATTTAAGTAAAAATGAACTTAAAATTATGGAAATTTAAAAAAAAAATTATTATTTATTCTAAAGTAAGAAAGAAACGAGAAATATGTTTATTGCCACAGTTAAAACTATTTTATTTTATTATAATAATTTTCATTTTCAATTTTCATTTTCTCCTTTTTTCCTTTTCTATTGCTGCCAACATATAAGCTACTTGTGCTAATTAATGAAATATAAGAATAAATATAAATCTAAATATAAATTTTAATAAAATATAAGTATGACGATAAATATGTAAATATAAGTATAAATATAAATATAAATTTAAATAAAATATAAGTATGACGATAAATATGTAAATATAAGTATAAATATAAATATAAAATATAAAGTCTATATATTCATAAATGTATCTTTTTTGATTCATTTACTTATTAAAGGTAAGCAAAATTTTCAGACACATTTATTTACAAACTTCAGTCTTTAAATTTTAATCAAAATTTCATATATTTTTCATATATTCATACTTCTTACCTTTTATTTCAGCTAATATCCAAAGTGAATTAGGCTTTTGTGGTTGGATTCTAACGATATTATCTTATATATTGATCTTTTTCACATTACCAATTTCAGTATGTATGTGCGTCAAAGTAAGTTAATTATTTTTTTTTTCACTTCGATAAGTTAATTATTTCACTAATGTCATTATTTCCAACAATTATTAGTAATCACTTTTGAATTAAACTATTTGAATATCAAATTCATTTATTAAATATCTGATCATTTCGATGTGTAAACAACTTATCGCTTATTTTAAAGCTTCAAAAAAATACAAAAATACAAAAAGTAAACAGAAAAAAAAAGGAAAACAATATGAGACTTAATGATCTAACAAATTTTGCCAAAAAATTCTGATCTTAATATGTAACTTTAATCATTTCATATTGATTTACTAGCAAATAATATTAATAAAAAGTAAAAAAAATTAATTAAATATAAAATTAATTAAAGAATTATACATTCTAAAATCTTTGCCACAATTTAATTTCGTCTTTTTTTATGCAAAAAAAAAAGAAAAAACTAAACATGAAAAGTGTTATAAAAGCAATCAATATGTATAAACTTTGATGAAAAGATAAGAGAGATCAATGAGATAAGAAAGTACGTTCGTTATCATTTATCATTGATTCTGATTATCATTGTGATTGTTAAAATATTTATTTTTTAGGTTGTACAAGAATATGAAAGGGTCGTGGTATTTCGATTAGGTCGTTTAATGCCTGGTGGCGCAAAAGGCCCTGGTATATTGCTCAATTAATTTTTTTAACCACCTTTAAATATATGATAATTTAATTTATTAAATTATAAAAATTTATTAATTTATTATAAAATCAATATTTAGGTATATTTTTTGTTGTGCCATGCATAGATACATATCGTAAAGTTGATTTACGTGTGATCTCATTCGAAGTGCCTCCTCAAGAGGTAACATTCATTTTTGATTAAATTATCACCTCCTTTTTATCACTTTCATATTTTATTTTATTTTATCATAATTACAAACAATGTATTAAAGTATGTCACATTTGCATTAAATTGTCACCAAAGGTAAATTTCATATACAAATATTTAAATGAAAAAATATTTATTGAATTGTCACCAAAGGTAAATTTCATATACAAATATTTAAATGAAAAAATATTTATTGAATTGTCACCAAAAGTAAATTTCATATACAAATATTTAAATGAAAAAAATATTTATTGAATTGTCACCAAAGGTAAATTTCATATACAAATATTTAAATGAAAAAAATATTTACCTGTTTTTTTTCACTAATTTCTTTTTATCTACTTAATAATAGTTTAATTTATCATTTCTATAAGCGATTTTGTTCAATTTTTTCATTCATCAAAACTTTATCATTTTTTATCAAATACTAATCAATACTATCGTAAGCTAAGTGAAACTTTTGATAACCTATCATTGTATATTACATATATGTTTAAATTACTTTTCTAATTTTTTTTTTTAAAAAATTTTAAAATTGAGAAAATTGGCTGATTTCAGATTCTTTCTAAAGATTCGGTAACTGTAGCTGTAGATGCAGTTGTTTATTTTCGAATATCAAATGCTACTGTATCAGTTACTAATGTTGAAGATGCTGCGAGGTTTTTTTTTTTTTTTTTTTAGTAGTAAAATGTTTTGTTTTAAATTTTCTTTTAAAATACGAATTGCATATGAACAAATAAAATTATTTCGTTAATGAGAAATAAGTTTAGAATTAAAGTTTTTTATTTTTACCAGATAATCAAATGATAATTTAAAAAATCGAATTTCAGTCCTTCTTTTTCCCTCTTATTTCTTTTTCATTGTCTTAAGTTATAAAAGTAAACATATTTTATATATTTATGAAAAATAATTATAAATATTTTGATGATATTTATTCTTAGATACTGAAATGCTTTAATTTATATTCAATGTGATAACATATAAGATAATTGATAACGAAATTTAATTAATACAAATTTTTATAAAATTTAGATCAACAAAACTACTCGCACAAACAACATTAAGGAATATTCTTGGAACAAAAACTTTAACTGAAATGCTCTCTGATCGAGAAGCTATTTCATTGCAAATGCAAGTATGTTTAGCTTAATTCTTTAAAAATAATTTCATTTAATAAAGTCAATGAATAGTAGTAAAAATTTTCATTTTTGTTCATTCCTTAAATTAAATGAATTTTAATATTTTATCAAATAATATTTATTATATTTATTTGTTATGATTTGAATAATTACTTATTACAATATTGCAACATATGTAATTAATGTAAATAAATATGGAAGCAAATTTTTAAGACAATTAAAATAATATGATTTGAATGTAAATTTTTGGATAATTTAAATAGTATTAGTTGAAAGTAAATTTTCAGATAATTAAAATAATATGAATTGAAAGTAAATTTTTAGGTAATTTAAATAGTATTAGTTGAAAGTAAATTTTCAGATAATTAAAATAATATGATTTGAAAGCAAATTTTTAGGTAATTAAAATAATATGAATTGAAAGTAAATTTTCGGGTAATTTAAATAATATTAAATAGAAGTAAAATTTTCAGATAACACTTGATGAAGCTACAGAACCATGGGGAGTAAAAGTAGAAAGAGTAGAAGTAAAAGATGTTCGACTTCCAATTCAACTTCAACGTGCTATGGCTGCAGAAGCTGAAGCTGCACGTGAAGCTCGAGCTAAGGTTATTTTTTAAAATTATTTCTTGAACTTATAATTTTTCTCGAAAAGTTCATTAATTAACATTAAACCAGTTTAATTGTAACTATAATTAAATAAATAAAATGAATTAATTACTTTTAATAACTAATATCTTTTAAAATTAATTAGCATTTTTAAGGATTAAATAAATAATCTAAGTTTTAAATTGATTAGTAAAGAAATATGCAAATATTTACTGCAATTTCTTAAACATTTATTGTGTCCAAATTATTTTCCTAATAGTTTCCACAGAGTTTGAAAAAGAGAAAAGTATTAATTCAATTCAGATTTCATTTTTTTTTCTTCATTTAAAATTTTAGGTAATTGTTGCGGAAGGTGAACAGAAAGCATCACGTGCTCTTAAAGAAGCCGCTGAAGTAATTGCTGAATCGCCATCTGCGCTACAGCTACGATATTTGCAAACTTTAAACTCAATAAGGTTAACCTTATATTGACCTTATATTACTTTAAAATTTCTCGAATAAATGCAAAAAAAAATGGACTAGAATTTCTCGAACAAATGCAAAAAAATGGACTAAAATTTCTCGAGTAAATGCAAAAGAAAAAAAAGAACAAAATAGATTAATCTTAAACATATTATTTACTACAAAATAATAAATATAGATGGATAGATTAATATAAAATATATAAATATATTTATAAACAAAAAAAAAACAAATAAACATATTAGATCATTTGTTTTTGATCTTACTAATTTGTAATTTTATTATCAATAGCCATTCTTTGATCTCTTTGGTAAATATCAGATTTCTTGAGAAAGAAATTTTAAAGATTAAACAAATTTTATCTAATAGAAAAAGTTTAATTTTAGAAGTATAACTTTCTTCTTTTTCAAAGATTAAAACTGATATTTGAAGAAAGAATTGAAATTCTATTTGGAATAATTGAAATTTTAATAAAAATACTAAATGAATATTAAAAAAAAAAGTTATACGATTAAGTTCTATAATATATGAAATTACTTCAATTAATATCAAATATATCTCAATTCATTAAAATTTTTTTTTTAAGCGCGGAGAAAAATTCGACAATAATCTTTCCACTTCCCATTGATTTATTGTCATCATTTTTTCATCGTGCTGCTCCTAAGGTGTAAGACTATGTTTTAATTTTAATTTAATTTCAATATTTCAAAAAAAAAAAGAAAAGAAAGAAGGAAACAATAGATTAAATTTTTTTTTAGTTTAATTTTTAGTTTATTAATAAATATGGACAAAATAATTTTGTAGATGATATTAAAGAATGTTATACTCTTCAATAAATATTAGTTTTATTTATTTATTTATTTTTATTCACTACTTCATTTAAAAATCATTTAATTAGTTGATTTAATCAATATGAGATTTTTTTTTAATAAGTAAAAATTTTAAAAAAAATTACAAAAATATGAAATTAGATGTGAATTAATTCATTTAGAATATAATAGAATAAATACATATAAATTACAAATATAGAAAAATGTTAAAATTTTAAGTTAAATAGTAAATTAATTAACTTATTACAATAAACTTATGCATTTTTATCAAATAATTGAAAAGTTTGATATTATTGAGAGATAAAAAATCGAAATATAATCACTACAATTAATCAAATAAAATTTATTATTTTATAAATACAGGCGGAAAATTGAAATTTTGATTGAAATTTCATTTTCAGAATGACTAAAACGCACTCAAGCTGACACTATCGCTACTATCAGAATGGAACAATTTCCTTCCTTTTTATTATTTTTTTCCCAATGTTGTTATGTTGTAGTAATAAAGTTCCCTTTTTTTTTTCTATTTTATTTATTTATTTATTTATTTTTTGTTTATTTGTTTGTTTATCTTTTGCACAAAAATATTTTTTATTGCTAGAAAAAGCTTTTAAAACAATTGAAATATGAATAATTGTATTCAATTATTTCAATTTATTATAATTAAATTTTATTTGCATGTGCACTAAAAAAAAAGTAAATTAGGAATAAATTTTTTTTTTTTATCATTTTCAAATTTATTTACACATATTCTTTCTGTTTTTCTTTATTTTATATTTTATAATGCTAATTTAACTTATCATTTTTATTTGCAGAAAGAAAAAAATGTTTAAGTTAAATTTGATAAACTGATAATACTATTTTTTTTTAAATTATAATAAATGAAATTTTCGAGAATATTTCGTTTTTTTTTTTACTTTTTGGCATTTTTTTTTGCTTTTTCCCTCTCTTTCTGTATTTGTAAAAGAATTTATTTAATTTTTTGATCAAATTAAATTATCAATTACAGCAGATGGCTTCAATTGGCAATTTTTCCACTTTGCTTATAAAGCGCATTTGATGTTTTTATCATTCAACAAATATTCATTGTTGCTTTTTGTGCTTTTATTAAAATGCAAATTTTGTCACATAAAACAATAATAATAATTTTAATTCATTAATTATATTAAATTATTTTAAGAGTTAAAGAAAATTATTTTAAGACTTTTCATTTGATTATTTCACTTATCACATTTAAATTAACATTTGACATTTGCTAGAAATGCTTTTCATTTTGAAATTATTTCTTAGTTTAATTTTTGAAAATTATCAGATGATAATTTGTTAGCAAATTTGCAAGAAATTCTCACTTAATTTCTCCCTATTCTTACTGATTTTCCGGATGATCAATCTAAATCACATAGTATGAATTAGGATTCAGAGCAGAAATTCCGGCCCAATTTCGCCGTATACGTCCGTGTTGCATGCACAAGTATCCGGAATGGGTGCAAGAAATATTTCGAGATTCAAGCAATCACAATATCAAAATCGATCATGCAAACAGTACTGCACGACAAAATTTAACACCGAGCAAAAGTTCCAGCAGCAGCTTATCACATTATCATCACCAAAGGTCAGGTAGTACTGGTAGTAAAATTCCTCTTACATTAATTTATTTTACTTTCATATTTTGATTTAAATTATGAAAATTAAATTAATTTTGCAACAGTGCAAATTTATGCTTTCTAGCAGTAAAAATTTTCGATAATTTTGGTTGAAAGAAAGCTAAAATATTTTCCGGAAAATGGAAAATTACCAATCCTTTATTTTAGCCAAAAGAGTGAAAATTAAATTTAGTCATATTAAAGAGATGCATAATTATTTCCGTTCTTAACTAAGCATTTTATTCTTTTTTTTTTTTAATAATTAATTTTAGCTTTTATTTCAACTCTGATCATCTTTTGCTTGGATTAATTCAAATTTAAATTACATTTCAGAACTCTCGACGTATCATCGAGAATAGAAACGTCACAAACAGCAGCAGTGAAAGTTGGAACGAGATTAAGCCAAATAAAACTAGGTAAGTAAAACTTTGCATATCTTAGTTTTACTTATAATAAATGAGACTAATAATACTAACAAATTAATTGAATTATTAAATTACTTATATTTAATTAGCTATAATTTAGTTGGTCAAAAATATTTTAGATAAACTATTTTAAATGAAGTATTCATCAAATTCACTTCAATTGCTACTTTAATTTGATCAGATATTCTGAATGTAAAAACAGGAAATCAAACAAATGAATGAATCGATGCGAAATGAGCAATGAAATATTCCGCCATTTTCATTTCTTAAGGAAACGATCATCAATGAAGCGATAATTTACTGGAAAAGCGCAAAAGTTAACAAATAGAAGGACAGAACGACAACGATGTGACATTAAAGTAATATACGAAGTTAAAGTGAATTTACATCCCACTTATCAAATGATGGTATAAGCATAATTACACGTATAAGCGTAATTACACGTATAAGCGTAGTTACACGTAATATATTTACTTCATCATCTAAGTGATTCATCCATCAATTGAAGCTGTGAAGATGCGACACAAATGGATAAATTTAAATTTATAACTCATCACGGAGAAGATTATTCTTCGGAATTAAATGATGAAGGGACTAGCAAAAATTAAAGAATGAAAATGTGCTTTTCATTCGACGACGACAATTGCGCAGTAAACAAAATATTTGTTAACATGGATAATAAATATTTCAAAGTATTACTAGGAATTGGAAATGTATGAAACTGATAAAGTGATAATGATAAGTGCTACGAGTTATTTGATTACTACTTCAACGCTATCACCAGAAAAGCTTCAAGTGTTTTTCTGGAATCAAATGATAATTATGTTAATTTGATCGAGAAAAATTCAAGGAGCTAATTTAAAGCGATAAATTAATTATGATAATATAAATTTTGATAATTCAAATTAAAAAAAGAAAAATGTATTTTTTGAACAATGAATGAATATAAATTGAAAAAGAGAATAATTTTTATGGTAAATTATAAAAATAAATCGTTTTCTAATTATTATGCTGAAAATTTCTAAATTTCTTCAAACTGTTAATAATTATTTTATAAATTTTAATCTTTGAGTGATTATAAAGAATTACTGAGAAACTTCAAAAATATCATTTTGAATATTTCTTGAAAAAAATAAGTGCTAAAAACATTTCATTAATTCAACTCTATCAAAAGATTTGAAATTATTTTTTTTTCTCAGAAATTTATTATTAAAATTATTTTGATTAATTCTGAATATCATTTCTACCAAATTTATAATTTAATTATTTTTAACAAATATTTCACTATCGATTTCTTTTGTTTTTTTCAGAAAATTAGGAAGAAAAAAGGAAAGCAAAACTACTAAAACTTTTTATAAATTTTTATTAAAAAAAAACAAAAATTATTGATTTTTTTTTGAAATTTAATAATTTCACACAAAATTGAATTATTAATTTCAGCTTAGAACGTTTCCTTCTGGAACGAGAATTTTCGGAAAGTAATACTACACGGGCATTATGTGGTTCATCATGGGCTTGTTCTACTTCTGATAATCTATCAACAAGTACTTCTTCTCTGATCAATGATCAACAATAATGATCAACAATATTTGTTGTTTATTGTTTTGTTTGTCAATAAAAATAACTAAAAATTATTTACTGTGTCTTTTTTTTTTTCTTTAATTATTTGAATAATTAATGATCGATTATGTTTTATCTACTTTAACATATCAATTGTTAAAGCTTTTTCTCTCAAATTTGCACAATATTGTTTGAGTAAACAAAAACAAAAAAAAAAAAATAAATAAATAAACAACTTATTGTGAATAAATTATTTTTTTAAAATTGAAAATTAAAAAAAAAAGGTATTTAATTGTTTATTTGTATTCATTAAGTTTTATAATTAATGCAAAATAAATTCTCAATGTGAAATTTTCCCAACAAAATTTTATCAAATGTAAATTGCATCAGAATAATTAGAATAAATTAATAATTAATTTTTATTTTTGTTTTTTTTCTAACTTTTAAGCAAAGCATATGCAATATTATTTTGATTAAAATAAATTCTATGCTTTATTTGTGCATCAAACAAATGCACATTTATCAATAATTTTTTAAAATATACTTTTTTTATTCAAAAAAAAAAAAAAAAATAAATTTCTTTTAAAGTAATAAATAAATAAACAAATAATTGAAATAAATCAAATTTTTTTTTTCAAGAAAAAAATGACTTTAAAAATAGGAAAAGCACTACATAATTTACATATTATGAATTTGTTGTATTAAATTAATATTACTTAATGGAATTTCTTCCGCTTCATTTGAATACCATTTAAATTTTAAAGTTTACTGAAATCAAATCAAATTAAATTAAAAGTATGTATGCATCAATGAACACTTCAAAACCATTTTTAAATCAAAACAATTTCATTTCATTTCATATTATAGTATAGTTATTGAATACATTTCCAAAAATGCATTTAATAAATAAAACTGGTTGGATTTAATTTATTCAATGCTCATTTAATCCAATAATACTTCCATTTCATATTCCAGTTAATTTATAATAATAAATAATTTAACTTTTATTTGCTCTTAATTTTCTTAAATTTAAATTCAAATTTACTATATTTTTTTTATTATTTCAGTTAATGCATATATAAAATAATTTGTTTCACATCAAATTCAATTTATTTATTTGTTTTTTCACTAATTTTTGTACCAAAATTTGCTTTATTTTTTTAAAATTTTATTGTTTTCTTTCTTCAATAATGTTACGCACAGTTTGCTTAATTAATTAATATTATAACATAATAAAAATTTTTAATTGATTAATTTAGTAAAAATTAATTTACTAAAATTTATTGCAATCTGATTTTTGAATTGAATCAAATTTTTATTGCTTCTTGTGAAATGATATGGTGAAAAATTCGAAATATTTGTTTTCATCAATAGTTTTATGCGCATATATCTGTAATTTAACTTATTGCGCATTACTAAAACTCAAAATTATTTTAATTCTGTAATTTTAAAATATTAAATAAACAAATATCTAAATTAGTAAAACAAAAATTTAAATTAGTAATTAAATTATTAAGGCAAATATTTAAATTAGTAATTAAATTAGTGAAACAAACATTTAAATTTGTGATTAAACTAGTAAAACAAATATATAAATTAGTAAAACGAATATTTTAATCAGTAATTAAATTATTAAAACAAATACTTTAATTAGTAATTAAATTAGTAAAACAAATATTTTAATCAGTAATTAAATTAGTAAAACAAATATTTTAATCAGTAATTAAATTAGTAAAGCAAATATTAAATTAGTAATTAAATTATTAAAACAAATATCTAAATTAGTGATTAAATTAGT